GCTGGCTTCTCTAGAATCAGCATTGGTACTTGTACCCAGCCCATACTCCACCGACGCTGATGCACCCGATCCACTACCTCCTCATGCCCAGTCTGAGGCTGCGTCGCGGGTGCAGAAGCCGTTGGTATGTCGATGATCTTCTCCTCGACGTCATGGTCTACAACAAAGGGCACGCTATCCGGCAGTCCAGGCAACGGTTGCTCTCCATCTTCGTGGGTCCTCCTTCTGCGCCCCATCAAGATTCTATTGTGCGGCACCTCGGCCCCGGAACCCATACCCTCGTCATGGCTACGACTGCCCGTGGCTTTGCCGTCCGGGTTCGGCATGACGAGACCGGGTTCAATCTCCACCCATACCTCGGCCTTGCGGATGGTGTCTGCGTAGATGAGGAGGACGGTGAGCCCTGCCAGGGGCACCGAGAGGGCCCAGAAGATGAAGAATCGGCTGCCGTCGGGGCCGTAAGTGTCGCCCATAGAGAGAATGCTAGAGATGATGGGTAGCGGGATGAGAATACCACCAAGGTAACTGAGGCGGTCGAGGGCGCGCTGGTTCTCGTCGACCCGCCGTTGAGGGGCTTGACCGTGCCCTGAGGAGCTTCTCACTCTGTTGTCTCTGGCGGCCGTTCCATGTTTCGAAGTGGTGATGGCAGGAGGCGTTGCCCAAAGAGTGGTCGAGGGAGGAACAGGGGAGTGGTCTGACGCTGACTTGAGCCAGTTGAGACGTATTACGATCCGGTCTACGAGCCTCTTCCAGTTCATGTCGTCGCTTTTCTCGTCGTTGAGCTCCAGCAGGCGTACCATCCGCCGGTAGCATGCGACGGTTTCTTCGCGCGTGGCCCGCGGCTCTGGTTCGAGAAAGTCAAAGAGCTCTTGCCAGTGGCGATAAACCACTTCCGAGACGATACCCGGCAGTTGGTCGTCGGCGTTCCAGTTCTCCTCCACGGCGTCTAGTTAAAACCTCCTCTAGGCTTTCGGTAACCTGTTCCGGGCCCTCCACTTTTCTAGCCGTCACCCTCCTAGCCTTGCGTACCCCCTCGCCCGGGACGTCCCAGACCTCCCTGTCCAAGAACAACACATACCCCATGGGGCCCCCGCCACAACCCTACCCGGCAAAACACGACTGCCGATCTTTTCTGGTCCCTTCTCCGCCCAAGGGCATCACCGTCGGACCCACTCCCAGGCTCGCCGGGGATCTCAACACCGGCCCGCTCTATCAGGGCCGAACAATCACCTTCCACCTCCACAACCTCGGGGTACTCCCAAATGTAGCCCCCAAAATCGTACCTCCCCAGATCCTGCCTCGCCTGCATCGATTCCCTCCACATGCGCCTCCTCTCCGCGTGCTCCGCCAGGCCGCGGCCACGGAGCCGGTAGGGCCGTCTCTGGGCGAGGCACGCCACGAACTGGGGATCGACGCCGAGCGTAGTCCTACCACGTTCTTGCTCGTCTTGCTCTCCGCTTTGATCGGAATTCGAATCTCCATATCTCCCCCTTCCCCCCTTTCCCTCTTCCTCTCCCCCATCCTCTTCACTCTCCACGTTCCGACTCTCCCCCCTCACCACCCCCTTCATCCACCTCACCCCCTTCACCTGCACCTGCACCTGCATCCGCACCACTCCCAGCACCCCCCTTTTTATCCCCATCCCCATCCCCCCAATCAACACCACCATCCTCCCCAACCGCCCCCACCATCCCAATCCCCAGCCCATGCAGCACCACCACCCGCCTCCCCGGATCATCCGCCACGTCGCGAAACAGCTCCGGCACCGCCAGCCCCCCGGGAGGCGGCAGCGTGGCCAGGGCGGCGCGCAGGGCTTGTGGCGTGGGCAGTGGGATGGGCGGTTTGAGGCGCGGCCGTGCCGGTTTGCGGGTTCGGGGAGGTCCAGGAGAGGAGGTAATCTGTTGTTGTTTTTTGGGGGGGTTGGGTTTGGGTTTGGGTTTGGGTTTGGGTTTGGGGGGGTGTTGGCGATGGGGGTGGGGGTGGTGGTGGGGGGGTTGTGGGGTGATGATGTGGAGGGGGTGGTGTGGGGGGGTGGTTGTTGGGTTGGTTGTTGGGTTGGTTCTTGGGTTGGTTGCTGGGGAGGACTCGGGGGAGGTGAGTGGTTGGGGAGTGGGTTGTGGTGGCTCTTTTTGGAGACATTTCTGAGTTGGGGTAGCAGGTTGACGTTTGAGAGGGTTGGATGGGTTGTTATTGTTGGTTGTCTGATGTTGAGGTACTGTGGTAGGTAGGAGTACCGAGTTTGGCTTATGGTGACGTGCTAACTGCTGCAACTGACTGCTGTTTATGGTATAGATAAAATGTCGATGATCGTCTCAATTCGAGTAACACAAGCGACGATCGACGAGCAGCAAAAACCAGAGCAAAAGAGGGTCGAGAACTTGCCTGTCTGATATGCGCTTTCTAACGACAAGAAAGATAGCTAGAAAATAAATGCCGGAAAGACTCACCAACAACGGCAGCAGGTCCCGAGGCAGCAGCAGCAAACAGCCTCTGACCGAGACAGCCCGAGCCAACCCTACCTGTTTGTTTGCCTACCATTGCCACTGCCTACTTTCGAGACAGGTTGACTCAGGGTTGACTCTGCGCGGTGCACCTGTCCACATCTCAATCCCACACACCGAGTATAAAAGATATTTGCCGCCCAATAGACTTCCCCCTCCAGGTTGCATGCATCGCGGTTAAGCATCCAACTGATCGCCGGCCTGCACCGACAACTACCGAGTGCACTCTGGCGTGCATGGCTCCGGCTCATCCGCCAATGAGGGTGAGTCGGGTGAAAGCCTCGCCGCTTTTGTCCCGTAAGCGTGGGTGAGGGGTACATACCTGAGTGACTGCCCACCTGAGGCCTGCTAAAGATCCACTGGAAATGGGCGTCGGGAAGGTTTGCTATTCGCGCATCATTTCGAGCTTCCGGCCTGCCTGCCGTACCCGCAGCCGCATCGCATCGCATCGCAACGGAATCGTGACGCCCGACCATGTAAGCGTACATGTACCTATGTATATACACCATAGTGCGTGACGACGCCGTGGCAGGCGTCTGCAAAATCGAGGTTAGCAGCACAGTTACCGTCAAGTGGAAGCCACAAGCACCGAACGCTCACTTTTACGCTCATTTCCAAGACTCCGTGTAATCCGGACAGGCCTATAAAACTGTCACACGATCCAGCACTCTTACTTCTGGTTTCTCAACTCTCTTCTGCGCCGCGAGCGATAGCTCTAGAAATCTGGCGTCCACACATGAGCCTCCACTAAACCTCTTATCGAACATCACTAAGACGCACCCGCCCCAGAAAAGTTGCTATGAACAGTGGTTGTTCCATAACTCACACCAACCACGAGGCCTCCCATTATCTTGTCGACGTTTTGGACCACACTGATACCCTAAACACCAGAGCTGTCAATACAATTTTGAAGGCACGGTAACAGAAAAGAAAAAGAAAGAGGAAGGGGAGGGGGACTGTGACGGAAAGCGCACCCAGGGTTGGGGTTGGAGGTGCACTTCCGCATCCGGACTAGCTCCGTTCTGGCCATGCCTTCTCGCGTTGCCAACGCGCTATCTTGTATCTTTCCTCTCTTTTTTTCAGCTTTCGATTAGCAGAATTGAGTCAGCATACGCAGTGCCCTTGTGCCTCGCCTAGATGTTACTCGTCCCTCACAGGGACAAATATTCGATCCAGGGGGACTCACCGCTTTATCCACAATCTTGCCCGACGCCTGAAGCTCCTTGATCCAGCGCTCGAGAACCCCCTTGATCCGAATGTAGCCAGCGTCCGACGCCGCAGCGAAGCGCGTCATGTCGGTATGGTCGGCGGGGATGACCTGGCCTTCGTACCCCCCGACGGTGGCCGAGTCCTTGGTGACAATAAACCCGACGGGCGGGGTTTCGAACTGCTCGTAGAAGCAGACGACGTCGATGGTTTCCTCGCCCTTGGTCCGGTCACGCAGGATGTTGGAAAAGGCGTCGGCCAGCTCCCGGAGCCGCGGCGATTCCTGCTTGAGCTCCGCGAGGAGCTCCTTGTTCTTATCCTGGCCGGCGAGCCGCGCGAACCGCTGTCCGATCTCGCCCCATTTGGTCATGGGGCTGCCCTGAAGCGGCGTGCCGAGGAAGATGATGCCGCGGGTGCAGGAGCCCACCTGCTTGATGTGCGGTTCGGCGTTGACTTTGGCGAGAATGATGGCCTGTTTGTCGTTCATCGTGTTGGTATTGTTATGGGGGGGAATCCGGCAAAAGAGACCGAACAGAGACAGTGGAGGGAACTCACATTCTCGCAAACTAGGCCCCCGAGGCTGTGGGCAATGAAAATGATGGGTCTGTCGGGCTATGAGCAACTGTCAGTTTCGAATCCATTTGCAAACATGATGTACGCTGACACTGGGCCAGTGACGAACTCAAAATCTAGGTTTGGCTAACAAGGGCAACCAAATAACAAGGCTGAGCTCACCTTTTGGGTCCTCTTCGCAGCCACATCGGTGCACAGCTGGTTGGAGTGTGTATTGAGGTCGGTCTTGGAGCGCTTGTGGAAGAAGTGGAAGATGTCGGCGTCATAGCCCCAACTCCAGATACGTGCATTGGGTATGTCTTTTGCGAGGAGGTCCCGCGGCCAAAACACACCGTACTTGTGCGTCCACGTATCCTCGCGGTTGCCCGTTAGGCCGTGGACGAAGACGATGCTATCCGAAGGATATGTCCCTTAGCCATGGCACACAAAGGTAAGTAGGGGTGTATTAGCGTTCACGCACTCGACAAGACCGTCATCCCCGGCCCCCCACGGGCCCAAGAGTCCCACGCGGCCGGCTATCGGTGATAACGCCATCTCTCCCTCTCTTTCTTTGGTTTTGTAAGTCCTCCCTGATAGTCGCAAGTGGTTGAGGCGGTTGTGGTGGCGATCCGACTTGCTCTGAGCTGTGAGTCCGGGAGGCCCTCCATCTTCGAAGAGGGGCGAAAGGAGGGAACCGCATGCCCTTGATATCCACCGGCAAGGCTCGTTATGGTATCATCCATGCCTTCACCGTTCATAGAGTGAACAGAGACATGACACTTTGGGTCGGGGGGACGAATCTGTGTAACACACCCCTCCAGCCTTCTTGGTCAGGCCGCAACGGAAAGCCTAATGGCAGAGTTATCGAGATCCTGGCCAAGCTGCAGCACGAGTGGGGCAGGGGACCATGATACGGTGCGGCTGTCCTGTCATCAGTAGGGAGGCGCCCTGGATTGGCCGAGAAGTTCACTAGGGGACCTCGGGCAAAGCTCTAGCAGTCCCTCCATGCATTAGTTGAGTTACACCAGGGCGAGACTGGTATTACATGTACCTTACCCCCTGGGCGTGTCCATTACACCTCGTCGTGGTGCAAAACTTGGGCATTCAGTTCAATGAATGTGTTGGATATGGCGTCAGATAGCAAAGTTCTCCAATCTTATAACAGTTGCTGGTGAAATTGGGGAAGATTGAGAAACAAAATCAGTAAGTAAGTGGTTGGGGCCAGTCATGAGCTGAACTGAGCAGGTGTGCTGACACAGGTTCATAGTAAGAGAATAAACAAAACCACTACTGAGCGAGCTATCAAAAAAGTGGCGAAAAACAGCTTTATCAATACAAAATAAGAATATCCCTCCGCTTAACAGCCACCTGGTATCCATGAAATGAGACAATGACAGCAAGGCCCAGCAAGACGAAAAGAGTCAGCGCGGGCACGGTTAGATCCATCACGAGCTTAAGAGTCGCCTTTGCCATCCCTTTTTCCCGTGGCGGGTTGGAAGCCTCCCAGATCTTGAGCACTTCCTGTAGATGGTCCTGCGTCAACTTCCAGTCGGGTGCGTCAGCCCCATCACCTGCCGCTTTGGCGTCCGTGGAGCGTGCTAGGGTTTGCGCTGAGTTGACCAGGTTCGAAATCTCGCGGCCGTTCAGCGCGTGCTTGGAGAAGAGGCTCAGGGCCGCTGCTTTCTCGAAGCCCCTGTTTTCTGGTGGGACTTTGCCGAGAATTTGGTCCCAGAGTCGCCGGCGTGTCTCGATGGTGGGAAGTCCGTAAGAGAGTGTCAGATGAACGCGTGACTTGATGGCTGCGTCGAACATTTTCGCTCGATTCGAAGTGAGGAAGATGATACCCTGGGAGTATTCCAATTGCCTCAGAAACACTAAAGCAGTTGCGGTGTTAGTGAGAAGTAGTGAATGGTATGTCTGTGTAAGTGGATTGGCAACTAACCCGCAACCAGCGCATTTCTCTCCAGATTAGCCTGACCGCCGCTCTGCCGCGACTCCAGGAATATATCAGCCTCGTCGATGAGTAGGATTGCCTTCCATCTTGTAGCACATCTAACAATTTTCCTGATCCCAGACTGCACCGAGTCGAGTTCCGACCCCAGCTCTCCAGCTGGGTATAGTAACACCGGCTTCTGGCCTCTTCGGCGACAGCCACTAAAACGAGGCGAGAAATCTTTTTAGCTACTGGGGCACCTTTGTCTCAGGCGAAGTGCGAAGGAGCCACTGGGCTCTACTTACCAGCCGTCAACGTCTTTCCAGTCCCCGGAGGACCATGAGACATGATCACCAAGCCTTTCCCCTTGAGAGCATCCTCGTCGCGGAGCTTAGCATCAGTAGGGAAGAAATGCCTCATAATCATAGAGCGGACGAGTTTCTTTTGTGAATCTGGTAATATGAGATCCTTCCACATGTTCAGCTCCCATGTAATACCCATGAGCGCCTTCTTGTCAAGAAAGAAGCGACACCAGGTACGCGTTCCAAGATAAAAGCCATGAACATATGGAGGACAGAGCATCCTGGTGTCCTCTGGGCGGGCTGTTGTCTTGTCGGAAGTGTCCTTTGGGCCTGGCCAAGGGTTGACCCGCTTCTCTTCTCTCGGGTTCTCTTCTAAGAAGGCCTTGGTATCAATCATGACCCGTCCTGCTATCTGGAGTGCCAGCGTTGTTAGAATGACGGAAAACGGCTGGCGAGATAAGTTATCGGGGTCACGGCAGTTGAAGCTTACAGAGAAAGGCTCCCATTTATCCTCCTTTCCAATGTAATGAAGGCACAAACCCTGGTATTGGCGAAAAGCAGGGCCACTTTTCATCAAATCGTAAAACCACTTGCCTCGTTCTGACAGCATATTCTTTACATCTGTTCCTCGGTCTTGGAGTTGGTCGATAGGGAATGCCGAGAGGCTTGTGATCTCAGCACGACCACCCTGGGGAAACTCATCCTCGGAAATTGAGAGAAAATCGAGCTTTCTCCCTGTCGTAATCCCATCGTTGTCGATATGTAGACACTCAAGTTGGAGTGAGCGGCTGCCTCCAAAGAAACTCGACCTCTTAGACGTGCTTTGCAGCCAATAGAGGCAGGGTTGACCATATTTTTCGGTCAAAACATAAGACCCTGGCTTGAACGCGGCCCAAAGAAGATCAAATGTGATCAACTTATGGCCTATGAGCTCGACAGACTTCTTCAGGGCCGGTTCTGCGCCCAAGTACCGGATGAGCATGTCGAGATGACGAGCTGGCTCGCTGTCCTGTGCCATGCTGTTTTTGTAACTCTCGAGCTGCTGGAAGTGATGAATAAGTATTTCGAATGGCTTATCGATCTCGAGCGGTGGCTTAAACCCTGACTTGTGTGCGGGATAGAACTTGACAGTCTCCTCGATCGCTTGGCAAATGTGGTGAGAGTTGATTCGAAGCTGTTTGCCCGTGGCTGTGTTCTTTGAGTCGAAGTTTTAGATGGAGACCAAGGGATAGGAGACAAAGTCGTCCTCGTCCACATGCTCCTCTTCCGCCTCCTTGATACTTTCCGTGATCTTGGATTCGCCATTCTTTAGTTTCCGGTAGAGATACTTGACCTCAAGCTTTCCACCGTCGGGTTGGTCCATTGCAACCGGGGCAACGGGCTCTTTGGTAGTAGTGGAGGATTGCGTCCCGTTCAAGGTTGTCATTATGGTAGAAATTGGGAGGTGAAGATGAGCCAGAAGAGTGTCGAAACTGGTGTTCGAACGATGGCTAACAAGGCATGTATATATCTGGAGAGACACACCCTGATCTGGGCTGGCAAGCAAGCTGGGTGGCTCATTGGGAAGCACATACTTAATTCTTGGCCTTTGTCCACGACACGAGAGCCTTGCCATTGATTTACCTTTGCGTACACCCCTCCCCCCCACTCCTTGGGCTCCCTCTCCAAATGCCAACTGTGGATGTCAATTGGGGGAGTGATCTTCGGCATCTCGTACCCTATGAAACCTCAGCTGAACAAGAATATCCATTTCCACACTAGGCTACCAATCACTGCAAGCGACAAGACTGGTCTCCTGCAGCGCTGCAGTTGAGCTGGCTTCGACACAAGGATACTGAGACCCAGCCCGTTGGTTATTGGATGGAGTAGTTCAGCGGCCAGTGCCGCAGCGGCAAAGCTGGAAAGAAAGTTGGTATTGGCGCACTCTGGTTCGACCTTTACACAGCCCCAGCCTCGTTGGTAGGGTCGAGGAGATGGGCGTCGACAACATGATACTGGTGAAGACCCCACAAGAAGCTGAGGAGGAATGGCCGCGGCACAGCTCGTCGGCGGTGTTACTCAGGGCTTTCTCTGCGGGTGGGCTCGTTGTGGCATCGAGTCCTTGGTAGTGAAAAGGAGGCAGCCGCTTCATTAGTGATAAAGAATGGCGCGAGGCGTCTAGCGTTAGGACACCAAGGGACATGGGTCTGCCAGACTAGGTACCTATGTAGCTTTTTATTGCCTTCCCCGATGACATTGGCAAAGTCAATGCCGCTCAGTTTCATGTTGTCTCCTGCTTGAGCGTTCGGCCCAAGCAAACCTTCCTCCCGCAATCCCTAGAAAAGTTTGCAAACTTCGCCTAGCTCAAGTCATATGTTACGTACTACTAGTGATAGCCATCAAAACAGGGCAACGGGTTCGAAATGCCTGCAGACTTTGCAGTATGTGCCTGCGGAAACGAAGCGGGTCGAAGTGGTGCTGACACTTACATGTACTCACAGTCGACTGAGATCAAGGATTTGAAGAAGATCACACAGCGGGAGGCACATGAACTCCAGCTGTCCGTGCAGCAAAACATCGAATCTCTCCACGGCGGTGAAGCTGTCGGCATAGTAAAAAATCTCACAATCAATCACCATCCCAACAATGGTAAGCCACTGACCTCTTAGTTGTGCTAATCGTACCACTGCATTACTGCACATATTTATGATGTGATCTCACTGGATACTGACGGAAAGGTTATCTGCAATGCATTATAGCACCCATCCAGGCTTCAGCCAACGACCCCTACTACAAGTTGATCGAGGCCCTCAACCTCCAGCAAGCGGATTCTGAGGGCTTTCTGGAGAGATGCAGGCGTGGAATAACTCCAGGTACCTGTAAATGGCTTCGAGAGGATGAGCCCAAGTTTGGGGAATGGATCGAAGGCAACAGCCGGATTCTTTGGGTCATTGGCGGACCTGGAACTGGCAAAACCATGCTTTCCGTGTCCAGCGTCGACCATATACAAGTACAGATCAGACGCAGAGGAACCCCGGCTAGTCAGGAGAACAAGCAAAGTCACCGCCCCGACACACTGGCTTACTGCTTTTGCAATCCCACCCAGGCGAATACGATGCACGCCATCATCGGCAGCCTTCTCCGGCAGCTCATAAATAATCACCGTGGGCTTCTCCAAACGCTGGTTAGCGAAAGGGTGACGTACGATGGCGACCAATTGTTCGCAGTTCTTAAACACATCCTAAGACAGCTGGAAGCGCATTTCCGTTATATTTATATTATTCTCGACGGCGTCGACGAATGTGATGTTACGGAGGGCAAAAAGCTCGTCGGCAGTCTTCTTGGGTTCGTGAAAGAAGGCGATTTGAAGACGAAGATACTTGTGACAAGCCAGGAAGAGGACTGGATCGTGGGCAATCTCGATGCCAACAAAGTTCCACAAATCCGTATTGGACGGAGCAACATTGCCGGCGACATCAAGAAGACAATAGAACACCAGATCGAGGTGGCACACCTCGACGCCAAGATCGGTTCGCAATGGCAAGAGACGCTCAAGAACCATCTCTTAGAAAACACTCGAGATACATTCCTATGGCCTACCTTGGTCATCAAAAATCTTGAAGAGTATGGGCGTACGTCCGACGACCTGGACTTTGACAACATGATTGCCGAGATTCCTTCCGACCTCTACGACCTTTACGAGGGAATGATGCGCAGGATCTACCGCCGCGTCTGCCAGCACCGTTTCACTCTGGACGAGGTTAACTTTGTGCTGCAGCTTGTCAGCGTAGCGAAACGGGACTTGACAAAAGAGGAGATTGACATGGCTTTTGGTATATGGAAAAGGAAGACAGCAGGAGGCCCCAAGGAGGTGCCAAACCTTAACAGCATGAGATCCATGACCTACAAATCTTGTTTGCCGCTTGTATCCGTTGACGAAAAAACCCAAGTGGTCTACCTCATGCACAATTCTGTCGCCAAATACCTCATGACCAACAGACCTTGCGTGGTACGGGATGAGATGTTCAGTGACGCGCCTCATCAACCTTCCGGTTTATCACTACGATCTTTGGCCGACGGGACAACAAAACACCCAAGCTTTCAAATTGATCCATCACGCGCTAACTTTCTCGTCCTGGACATTTGTCTTTGGTTCCTCAACATATGCGGAATCAACAGCGATGAAGGGATGTCCAGGTATGAGCAGGAACTTCTTTGGGATTTGGAATTGGAGAGTCCGGACTCGGAGGGGCAGGGACAAAAGAAAAAGGCCCCTGTTTTCTTCAGCTATGCGAGGAAGTACTGGCAATACCACGCACTGGACACGATGGACCTTGATCAAGCCACCCGCGAGTTACGGAAACTACCCAACATGTCAATCTTGCGGGACAGGCTCCTGCTGAGCGCCGCTGAGCGCGGCCACGCCAGAATTCTGCGGATTCTTCTCAAAGAGATGGGAGCAAGTCCGAATGTGGCAGCGCGGGACGGAAAAACAGCTCTTCACATTGCTGCCCTTGGTGGACATGTTGCTACGGTCCAGCTGCTCCTTGACCATGGCGCTGACCTCCACCAGAAAGACTCTGTTGGTGCGACTGCCCTGCACTGGGCTGCGGGAGGGGGTAAACTCAATATCGTGACTCAGCTGTTTCGTATGCACCAGGGCCGCCAACGAATCCGAACGGGACAAACAGTTCTGAGCGCTTTATTTGCACCAGGCTTTCTCTTCAAGCGGTGATTTCTTCGAATACGGGGGCTGGTATTCGGGCCTAGGAAATACGCTTCCGAAACTGAGAACACTAATAACAGCCCGGCAGTGGATGTTGAAATGCCCGATGAAGAAGGCGGCACACTGCTCGCCTGGGCGCTTGAAAACGGCTCCAAAGAGGTTGTCGAGTTTCTCCTTGTAAACGGCGCCAAGACGGACATTAGGTATTTTCTAGACGCTCGACGTACAGTCGTGGACAGGACAAACCTGACAACTCTGCTTCATTCCATTTCGGAGCTGCTTGAAGATCTGTTCGGCGGGCTCGAAATGACGCAGCCAGAAGGGGTGAGTGGTGATTTGTTACGTCGATCTGCCCTACCAACATGACTGCTTCTGAGTTGACTTGCCTAACTATTGAGAAGAGGCAAAGAACGCCACTGGCTCGGGCTGCCGAGCGTGGGCTTGAACCAGTTGTCCAACTATTACACGATTATGGCGCCGACCCTAACTTCAAAGATCTGTTGGACCGCGCTCCTGCGTGGTGGGCTGCCAAGAACCGATATGGGGGAGTGGTCGAGACGCTCAAGAGGCGAGGCGCCGAGTGCAACTCGCAACTGAGGCTCGCCGTTTTGAGAAAGGAGATACCGGCAATCAAGACCCTCCTCGAAATGGAAGATGTGGATCTGAACTGGGAAAACGAGCGGGGAATTTCGCATGTCTGCTCTGCTGCTGCCAGCGGGGACAGAGACGTGATGGAGGCACTGCTGGAAGATGAAAGAACTGATACGGAATCCAAGGCCCACACCTTTTCGCCTCATGCCCCTGGGAGTTGCCGCACTTATTGGTAAGATCGAGGTAATTGGGCCCCTTCTGGCTGGAGGAGCCAATGTGGCCTGGGTTGACGAAACGGGGTTGACGCCACTGATGTGGGCTATTCGCATGGGCTACACTGAGGTTGTGAAGAAGCTTCTTGAGTCCGGAGAGGTCAACATTGGCTGGGAGGGCCTAAAAAAACAAACGGCGCTCATGAAAGCGGCTATGACCGGTAATGAAGCCGTTTTCAATCTCTTGGTGAAGCCAGAGAAAAACCTGAATCGACGCGATGCGTTTGGCCGCCCAGCGATATTCCACGCGATCAGAGGAGGTAACCGTCGGATAATAGACACACTACTCTCAACCCCTAAACTGGACATTTGGACGCCGGACTTTTATGGCTCGACATGCTTGTCCATTGCCGCCAGACTTGGGGACAATAGCACAGTCCAGAAGCTCCTGGGCCGCGGAATCCATTCTAGCCAGCATAACAGTCAGGCCACAATACAGATAGATCTTATATGCCGCCGGGACAACTTTGGAAGGAGCCCTATGGCTTGGGCGACGCTAAGCGGACAATCATGGACGAAGAAGTACCTTCTTTATGAGTGCAGGGAGCGAGGACTACCGACAGGCGGGGACGAGTCAATCCCGCTCAAGAACCTATCTCCTAACAGAACCGCAGGGTTTCAAGCATACCCCGACACCTTTTGCGACGTCTACTTCTTCAACATTGGAAAGCGTGAAATGTACTACACTTGCCACCTTTATTTTAACACCAAGAACTAGTTTGTCTGTTGCCTAGAGTGTTGGGATTCCCTGCGGCCGCAACCGACGTGCCTGAACCGCAGGCACAAGTTGTATTTGCGGGTGAAAGAAGACAATGGTAGGTAAATCGCAGTTCAATCGCCACGGCACTTTTGATCTCCACGTCTTGGATATGCCTGGTTGGCTAATATCTTTTCTCTTGTTCCGTAGCTAAATCTGACAATTAAGATGGGACTCGGAGTAGGGGATAGGAGATCTTGGATGCAAGAGACTGGAATTTACCATTTTGGAAACAGAGACGACAGCATGTTGAGGATGTGGTCTTGGAGCTGTCTGGCACATTGTGAAGAATATCAGTGAAAGAAAGAAATGTCGACACCCTTGACGTTGGTTTCGTGGTTGACTGCCGCTGAGTGATGCAAACAGCTGCATGTAAACGGAGCAAATTATCTTTTGGCGGATATTTGGGTTTGAACAAACACATGAACTCATAGTAAAAGTCCATCCTGGTCACCTAGATATGCTTACCCACCCTCAGCCTACCAATCCGGCCCTCTCCTCGTTGTGCCGGGAGACGGGAGCTAAGCATCCATGATGTGTCTCTGGTGACTAAAGCTTCTCATGGTCCTTCAGCCATCTCTTCTTGTGAAATTTGATCTCCTCCTCCCTCTTCCTCTTCTCCTCGTTTTCCTTATCCCTCTCCTTTTCCTTCCCTCCCTTTTTCTCTTCGGCCTCTGCACGTCGCTTTTCAGCTTCTCTCTGCTTCTCCAGAGCCTTGTTGATTTCTTCCTCCAGCTCCTTCGCTCTCTCCTCGCGGCTCTCGGGCTCCGACGGTCTCTCTTCGAGGTCCTTTCTCACAGCTTCCAGTTCTGTCTTCCTCTTCTGAATATCGTTTGTGTGGTCTTCATACTCCTGCTGGGCTTTCCTGGCGTCCTCCTGGAATTTCTCCACGTCCTTCGCCGCGTCCTCATACTTCAGCTCGGCCTGCCGCTTTGCAATGCAGCTGTCCAGGTACGGCTCGTAGTTCTTCCTGTCAATATCCGCCTCTAGCCGATTGTCGATGGCTTCGTTGATGAGAGCTCTGGTCTGTAAACCTCTGACGCCCTCGAGAGCCTTGAGCTGCTCGGCGAGCTCGCGCCGCGAGAGTCCGGTGAGCGTCCGGACCAGCTCCTCGCGAAGGTCGCGCTCGATGAACCCCCGGATCTTCTCGGGCTCCAGGTCGCGGTACCCCGGCACCTCCATTGCTTCATTGACGTTCCGCTCCACCGCTTCGTGGAACTGGTCGAGCACTTCCTCCGGGAGGGGCTCCTCGGCGATAAACAACTTGGCTTTGTCGCCGTACTGATCGAGGACCTTGTTCTTTTTCCTCTTCCGAACGCCTTGGAGGAACTTGAATGCCCGGTACGGGGCCGTAAAAGGCCACTCGATCAGGGTGACGATGTCTCGACACATAGCTGGCGTTACCGGAACAGTGATCTCAGGAAGACCCATCAGCGCCACCGGAGCGAAGAATCTCTCCGTCACGACCGCCGCCTCGTGGGCCGGCATGGGCGGGACGCGCATCGGGGAAACCAAGTCAAGGCCCACGGCGTAATACCGGTTGGCCTCGCCCTCCCAGTGCTTCTCCGCCGGTGACATGTTGCGCCGGCCGGGTCCGGTCGGGCGCTTGTCGTCCCAGGGAAAGAAGATCTCCCCGCTGACGGGAGACGTCTTGTCAGGGGCATCGCTCGGCCAGGTGCTGCCCGTGAGGTTGGCGATGAGCCCGTCTTTGTTGGCCACAAACTCGAGCTTCAGGTGGTGTTCTTGTCCGTCGCCGTCGGTGGCTGTCACAACCAGATTGCCGTTCGTCCCATCTGTCTCGGATTCGGCGGTCTCTTGGCCGTCTATGTAGATCTTGCGGGTGACGGGATGCACGAACAGCTCCTCAAACCCGAGGCTCTCATCCTTCAGCTTGTACACGCCTCCGGCGAAGCGCACGTCAAACTTGGGGCCAGGCAGCGTCAGCTCCTCCAGCTCCTTCTTGACACCGTCCCAGGCGATCTGATATCCCTGTTCGCGGAACCAGTCCATCACCGCCTCGCCGTCTTTGTCGTCGGCGACGGCCATGGCGTCTCCGAGGAAGCGGTTGTCGGTGTACAGCCGATCTAGAAGCTCCTGGAGCCCCTGCGCAGCCCCCGCGGCGGCACCAGACATGTACATGTAAGCCGAGTAGTCTAATGATCTCGCGGTCGGGAGCTCAGTGGTGGTAGGAGCGCTCTCAGCAGCAGCAGCAGCAGCAGGGGCAGAAGCAGCAGCACCACCACCACCACCACCCCCCGCAGCAGGCACCACGACCATCTTCCCCGCCAGCACAATATCATGCGGAAGCAGGACCTGCGTCGCTGTCATAAACCGTGTCCCCGGCGCGAACACGTTCTGGGTGGCAAAGAAGTCGAGCTTGGGGAACTTCATCTCGAAGGGGGTGAGGCGGACGCGGAGCTTGTGCAGCTCGCCGGGCACGTACTTGACCATCTCGCGGTGCGCATACCACGGCCGCTTGCGATACAGGGCCTCGAAGCTGAGCTTGGGCTGGTCGGTGGGGTCGCGGAAGGCGAGGCTGATGTCGAGGGTGTCGCCGGAGATGGTGGCGAAGGGGCAGGGTTCCTGTGGGGGTGTTAGTTAGGTATATAGTTATACGTGCTGTCTTGTGTGAGGGGGGAGGGGGGAGAAAGGGCGTGGGACTTGATGTTCCAAGCTGCCAAAAAAAACAAAAAAAAAAAAAAAAAAAAAAAAAAAAAAAAAAAAAAAAAAGGAAAACGAGAAGAAAAAACACTTACACCCGGCATGGTAGAGGTCACTGAGGCTTTCCCGCCTATGCTGGTAGAACCCCCGACGCTGGTGTCTATATCCCACTCTAAGGTGGACGTGAATTCCCAGTGCCATTTCGCCTCTGGCGTGATTCCATCGGGCCCCTTGTCAATGACGACCGTGACCGGGTTCGCGTCAAAGTCCGTGGTAAAGTCCTGGATCGAGAACAAGGAGGCAGTCCATCCAGACTTGAGGTCGTAGTAGTTGAACGTCTTGGTCTTCTCGAGGCGGAGATTAATTTCCATGCCCGTGCCTGAGGCGGGCTTCTTGACCTCGATGGGCCGGCCACTCAGGAGGTCTTTCAGGGATGTATTCAGGTTGGGGAGCAGGAAATCGTCGACGAAGAGGCGGCGAGATATGAAGATGGCCGAGTCGAAACCGGTCGGGAAAGGGAGAATGTCCCTGGTGCTGCGATGCTGAAACAAGGGCGGGCTCATGCCGCTGCCGGCGGTACCGCCCTTGGTCTTGATGAAGACGTTGATCGCGCCAGGCTGCGTGTTGAACATGCATGAGGTCGGGCGGAGAAAGTCGGACCACTTATCGTCGGGATCGACCTCGTTGGTCACGACGGCGATGCTGTAATGAATCCACTTCACGTGCTCCTTGTCCAGAACGTAGGTGACCAGATTGTTGACGATGCTGTCCTTGGTCTTGAGCATCAGCGCGTCTTCTTCGAGTGGCTTGCCCGTGATGTTCCGGATATCTGCAGACATCTTCTCATTGTCAAACTGGAAGGTTATGCAGGTAGACCCGACCTTGTCCTCCTCAAAGTGAATCTCGGTGCCGCTGCCGACAATGGCTCGCGACGGCTCCTTTGCCTTGTCCATGTCACCCCCCGGCTCGACTTCAGGGCCGGATATGGTGGACTCCTTCGCGAAGAGGTGAATGACGGGGATGGAAATGTCTATGACATATGACTTTTGGGGAATAGTCACGTCGTCCATTTCCATGCCCGGGCCTGCCTGACCGACCATCTTGCTTTTCCAGCCCCCTTCGATAGGGAAGCTGAGAGTTGCCTTACCCCCCGCCGTGGCAAATTGCAAAGAGGGCTCTCCGAGCTGAACGTCGAATGTCTGAACCAGGCGAAACTTTTTGTCAATGGGCGTGCCGATGTCGAACTTGAGCGGCACCGGCTTCATCGAGTGCCTCCAGCGAACAGCCAGGAGGTCGTTCAGCTGCTTCTCCGAATACGAGACCATGACATCCCAACGGTTGGTAGCCGAGTCATCCTTCAGCTCGTCAATGAACTCGGTGGGCGGAATGATGGCCATGATGTTGTTGTGAAAGGGTATTTGCTAGTCGAGACCGCTAGTAGAGGCTTGGAGGGGATGATATAATGCGGGATGAATGAAGTGAATATGAAGATGGTCATTGAAGGGAAGCATCAATATTTTATATTCCCGGTGGTTGCCGTACTAGGAAATCATAAGCGCGGCCGAGCTCACGTCATTATACATTTCCCAGGTTCAGTTATCTCATAGCCCTCTGACTTGATGAGGGGATCCAACCAAGGGGGGAATAAGAGGGGGAGGTGGAGGAGGAGTAGTTGGGTTTGAGACATGCATATGTAGGTAGCCCCATCAGCCCAATGAGCAGGTATAAGTGCAAAAGACATATGCAGTCCATCCTAGATCGGCTGTATTTCTCAAGACTGTCAACCCCTCAGGTAACGTCATCCATCGCCACGCTATTGGCTATGGGGAAGTCGATCCGTCTGTTTCCAGGAAACCCGTCTCCTAATCTGCCCCCTATGTTAGCCCCTAGAGAGGATCATCCTTCGGGCAGCAAGCAGCATCTTGGTGGACTAACGTTTTCCTGTCCTGGGTTATTACAGTAGTTTCTACTCCAGTACCGCCATTACCGCCAGCCTGACCTGCCAGGCGAGTTGTCCAACCTTAACTCTCCAAGATAGTCACTTCAACAGGGCGAATCTCCAACCCAACCCACCGACAAGATATCACCAGAATTGTCTCAACATGGCAGAACTCCCACCCAACCCTGACCGAATGCTCATCCCTCAGCATGACCCGAGGCTTATTCTCTCGGCCGAGACTTCGTTCTCGATGCCAGATCTGGCACGGTCTGTAGACATCTACGCTGAGGATTTCCATCTCGACCGCGACCTGGTGCTCAAGAACAAGAGTGATGAACCCAAATCAAAAGCCAGGCTTGGCTTGTTTGTCAAAAGTCTCAGCACTGCCGTCCCCAAAGGTAACGAGGTGCTCAAGATCGACATTGGCGGCGCCGACGGCACCAAGGATACTGCCAATGCGTCCAGCGGAGGCCAGGCCTTTTGCTTCATCCAGCGGCTAGACCAGCGATATGTTGACACGTTCAACATTGATGGTAAGTCCCGGCGTAGTTCCGTACCTGGCGCCTTTGGAATTGTCACGAGCGGCAACTGATAAAAGCCGCTTTCTTTAAAGCGTACGGCGGCCATGGCTACAACCAGGTCCTGGATTCCGCTGGGGGCACTCCCGCCTCTCCAGCTGCTGGCGGCAATGGTGGTACTGGGGGCCAGGTTTCCGTCGCCTTTGGCAGCTTCGTTAGCAGCTCCCTCATTCTAGCAAGGAAGCTCATCTCCCGCGTCCACGAGAAAGCCTGAAGCGTACTCAGCCGGCTTAGCAGACCTTCCTCACGCAGCTGACACGCCGTTGTGAGGCGTAAAGAAGTACAAGCCATTACTGGGAGTCTCCGAGGTCTTAAGAACTGTTGAAGAAAGTACCCCAAAGCTTGACAAGAAAGACTTCTCAAAGGCTCTAATTGAGCTCGTCCGCGTTTTTACCAGCATCGAGGTCCACATGGAGTCCCGGGTCACCCAGAGCATCGGCGTAAGGGGGGGCATCTGGGGTGTCGGCCTTGGAAAGCAGAGTGAAAATGGCAAACCAGGAGCAGACGGCGACGCCGCGGTCGCCCTTGTCAGCAACCCCGAGGAGCTGTGGGAGCTGAGCATGTGCTTTGCCCATCCCACCCAGTGCAACATGGTCCTCGAGAGGGCCAAGGCTCGATATTACGCCGGTACGCCCCGGCCTGGGTCTGACGGCAAAGGCAAATCATCTTTGTTGGCGTGGGGTGAAGCCAGAGCGACGTTGGAGAACCTTCCTAGATCGGTTGGAATTCCTCGATGATGCCCATCGCCCGACTGACCTGGCCAAATCCAACCTCGTTGCCGCTTACAAGACTGGAGACGCAACTCTCAGTATCCCGGGTAGCAATACCACCGGGGTTAACGGTCTCCCCGCGTCGCTCTCGCAGCTCATCTCGATCCGGAACGAGGCCGTGGGACTCTACGCCCAAGATGGACTCGGGGTTGGATGCGTACAATGACTCGTACAACAGCGTGCCTTTGGGGTCATTCGGTTCCTACGAGAAGAACCTCGAGTCGAGCCTCACCTACCTCGGCAAAACTGAGCTCCGGTTCAAGGGATACAAGGAGGCCGTGGACAAGGCCGTGGAGAACAAGGAGCACATCGAAGCCAGCAGAAGCGCCACGGAAGCTGTGATTGCCTCACAACACCAGCATGCGCCGTGACATTATTAGAGAGCTCAACAGGACGGCGGCGAACATTGCGCAGTTTGATTATCCCCTCTCCAGGGCCAAAGCCAACCTCACCGAAGCCGCAGACAAGGTCAAGCAAGAGTTGGAAAAGGCCATCTCTTTCCCTTTTCGACGAACTGATCAATGCGGGAACACAACTCCTGTTTGTGGCCAAGTGGCCGATGGCGGTGCTCCAGGGCGCCAACTTGATTCATCAAATGGCGACCAAGATCATCAAGGAGGACGGGACAACCGTGGAGCGGCAGTATCTGGTCCGAAGGGTCAGCAACATCACCGGGTCCATAAGGAGCCTCAATGAGGGCTACAAGATGCTATCCAATGGAAAACTACAGGACGAGGATCCGGACGCTGCCAAGCTCCTGATCCAGGAGAAGGAGTTGTTTGAATTGATAGAAGACGTCAACAACTCGCTGAGCGAAAAGACGGTGGAAAGGGTCAAAACTCTATTCAGGTTCTACATCAGTAAGCTGGTCATTCACCCGTGGCCCCAGATAACATACCTAAGATATCACGTCACAACTAACCTGGCCTGCCGTCTCCAGCCCTCGTTGTCCAGCGAAGCCAAGACATCATGAGATACAACGCCCTGGTGTCGACCCTGGTACGGTACCGAACCGAGTCCCAGTCACTCCAGCAACAGCTCGACCAGCTCCGACGCGCCAACATCGCCACCATCGACGTCCACCACCCCGCCATCGTCGTGTTCATGCAAAAGCTCTACCTCAACGCCATTCGCATGACCGAATACTGGCTGTACAAAGCCCAGCGAGCCTACAACTACGCCGCCCTCAACGACGACAACATCATCGGCGACGTGCTGGGCGACGACCCCCCCTTTTCCCGTTTCGACTCAACCCTGCTCTCGGCCGCCCACCAGAACCTCTCGGATGCCTACCAGAAGTACTACCTGGACAAACTCGGCCCCGCGCGGGGGACGTTCACCAACCGCACCGTCGCCCTGGACCCGGACGAGCACATCGAGGTGATCCGCGACAGCGGCCGGAACAGCTGCACCTTCTTCGTCAAGGTGGTCCCGGGCAAGGCGTTCGACGGCATGGCCAACGTGCGGCTGCTGAGCGTGCGGTGCTTCCTGGACGGTGCCAGGGTCGCGTCGACTAATAAGCTGCACCTGACCCTGACGCATGCGGGGATGGAGACGTTGGTGGATGAGGTCAAGAAGAGGCATGAGTTTAAGCACAAGGCGCAGATCCTGACGGCGTTCAAGTACCATCTTGAGACGGGTGAGGTTGAGTTGGCGAGCACTATTGGGGAGGGCCGCGAGGAGTCGGGCTACGCGCTCGTTGGGCCGTTCGTGACGTGGCGGGTGGATGTGAATAAGGAGTATAACACCGGGTTGGACCTCTCTGGCGTGACGGGCGGTCGCTTGGAGTTTGATGGACATTATCAGCCCATTCGCTAGCTTTGCTACGTTGTTATACTTCTTTCGGGCCCTGTCGACGGCGTACTTTACTTCATGGCTCGAAGCCCCCTCAACCCGTCTTGTTTCTTCAGGGCCTTTCTTAATATCCCTTATTGACCTAGTCTAGAAGGTCTGATAGTTGTCGAGATCGGACTCCCTTCCAATTACATGTATATAGAAGCGGACCTTCTAAGGCCACATGTCTCATCCTCTCCTCAACGAAGTTAACTAGACGTTATAGAGTCTTAAATTCAGTCCTGATTCCAAAGAGATGGGTGCTTGTGTACTGTATCTCGAGAGTAAGGCCCTCGAATCGATCGAGTGCGGCGGCTTGAAAGACTGGCCTATAATAACTCTTCTTAAGCTTCCCCGAATCCGAGGGCCCCAGGAGATGGCGGACCAGCTGCCGGAGTATATCCCTCGCCGAAGGCATGTTAGTGGACGCCAATTCTGACATCTCCTTGTTGGGCCTTGCGGCCGAGTCGGTTCGGCCAAGTCACAGGGGGTCACGACATATATTAATGAACATACCCCCACTCCCACTCCCACTCCCACTCACCCCCTCCTCCCCCGATCTTGCTTTCTTGCTGCTGCCGGTGCGGCAGATCAGGCGCGCTAGCCTCACAAGATGCGGATGCAAATGCAATGCATCCATACGTGCATCCACCAGCCTCTGTCTTGACGAGCCGGAATCAATCACTCAATCAATCACCCAACCCAAACCAAATCAGGAGGGTATCACAAATACGACCGACTCCCCCATGACCTAACCTGATCTGGCCTGGCCCAAATCCCACAGACGCTGTGCTGTATTCGTTCTGCTCATGAATGTCTCGCTCGGCTGCTTATAAAAAAAACCTCCGTAACATCTAACATTCCATTCCAGCGTCTGTCGCCGCCACTCCCTTCCCTCCCTCCCAACACATCGCATCGTCCCAAATCCCACCCGTCCTCCCTCCCCCCTTTCTTGACTGAACAGCAAAACAGGAAAAAAAAAAAGAACAAGTTCTCCTCCATCGAAGAGAAGTGTGTAAAAACGCCGTAAAACTCCATCAGATGAAGCGTCAAGTACATGAACATGAAAAGCGCGGTTCCCACCCACATAAACCGCTCTTTCTCGCCATGTCTGCCAAAAGGACCGACCGACCGACCGACCGACCGACCAGCTCTGCCTCTCACCCAGGCAGCGCTCACTCCCCTTGTCTGCTGTGCAACTGTGCCGGCCCGCGATCCGCCGTAGCCCTGTCTTTCCCGTCCCTATCTAATATCGAATGAGTGTTGAATGAGTGGACTGTGGGTAATTTGATTCTGAGACTCAGAACGAAAATGCCACCCGTGGTGATCCATGACATGCCATGCCATGTCACCAAGGCAGGCTGTTGGCCGATGAACCTTCCCCTCTCTTCCCCTCCCCTCGCTTCCCCTCTTCTATCATTCTCTTTCCCCAGACCCCCCGAGCCCCCTTCCTCAACTCCTCCCCCCCTGGTTCCACTCCTCCTCGTGATGCAGCGTCACACTGTTAAACTCCTCAAACGGATCCGGGGTTTCGGCGCCGGGAGTGGCGAGGCCGCTCTCGAGGGGCACGCCCTTCATGGGGCGGGAGCCGCTGATGTCGACGCTCTCGCTCTCTTTGACGTTGCGGAAGTTGACCGTGTCGATGCCGCGGCCCTGGTGCGGCACGATCGGCGGCTTCATGTGCCGGATGAGCGCCCACTGCGTCGTGCGGAAGAAGGGATGCGTCTTGATGTCCGACGCCCCCGCGCGCGCGCCTAGCCGCCGGTTCTCGTCTTTGATGAGGAGCTTGCGGATGAGGGACTTGCAGAGACTAGGAAAATTGTTAGCATGACTGAGAGAATTTGGAAGGTAGAAGAGGGTAAATAACCGACTTTGATATTTGCGGCGCCCCCGCGTGATCTGGGAAGGGAATGTCTTCGCGGAGGATGTTGGCAAACGTCGCGTTACGGTTCTTGCCCTTGAACGGCGTCGTGCCATAAAGCATCTCGTAGACCAAAATCCCCAGCGTCCACCAGTCGACGGCACTCGTGTGCCCGCTTCCCTTAATTACCTCGGGCGCAATATACTCCTCGGTGCCGACGAACGAATTCGTCCGGAAGTTGGCGATACACGACTTGGTGTCGATGGTCGGGAGTGACGTCGAGCTCGTGCCGTTCTTGCCGATGATCATGGTCGGCTTGCCGCCGGGGTCAGATTGTTTTGAGAGATCAAAGTCTGACAACATGATGTGGCCGGACTGATGGAGGAGGATGTCTGGGCCGGGTCAGCGGAAGTTTCCAGCGTGCCGCATACCTAATGTGAACTCACTTTCTGGCTTCAAATCCCGGTAAATAAAACCCATCAGATGTAGGTATTCCAACGCCGCAGTCACCTCGGCCGCGTAAAACCGGGCGTCCTCCTCTAATATGCACTTCCCCGGCCGCGTCTGCAGCGCACGGAAGAACTCACCGCCGCTGCAGTATTCCATGCACAGGTAGAGGTAGTCCTCGGATTGGAACGAGTGGTAGAGCGTCACAATGAACGGGTGATTGCTCGTCGCCAGAATCTCCTGCTCCGCCAGCGCCCTCTTGATCTTGTTCCGCTTGATCATCTCCTTCTTGCTCAGCACTGTAGTGTTATGTTGTCAGCATTGTACCCAAAATCGAGAAGGGAGCATCTACCACTAACCCTTCATGGCATACAACCTGCTGCTCTTCTTTTCCCTCACCAAGTACACCTTGCCGACATCCCCCTTGCCGATCAGCTTGATCTTGTCGAAGCTTTGCGGTCCGACCTCCACATTCCTGACTTTGATAGAGTTCGAGCTGTACGTCCTGCGGAACGCGAGGGCTGACTGGGTCGGCGGCGGTGGCAGCGAGCCGAGGCCGTCGGCGTCGGGCGGTGCAAGGCCGCCCTCGGATGTGGCCTTGCCCGTGCCATCGGCGAAGCCCAGCGCATTGGGACCTGAGCCCTCCTCGAGCGGCTCTTTACCCATCTCAGCCGTGGCGGGCCGCTCGTCGTCCGTGCTGCTGCCGTCACCCTTGGCGCCCTTGGCAAAGAGGCCCTGGGCATTCGGGGCGCTGGCTACCCTCCGCAACTTCCTCGCGAGCTCCTCCTTGCGGGCAGCGGTGGCAGCGGCGGCCTTCTCGTTGCCGTTGGTGTCCTCATCGTCGGGTGGGTTCACACTGACCGAGGGTGTGTCGGGTGGGCTGGGTGGTACGGAGCCCTCGTTATGGTGTCGCAGACCCGGCTGGCCTTGGTGGGCGAAATAGGGGTTCGCGAGGGCTGTCGGGCTTAGGGTCTCGTTGTCGAGCGGGTTACCCTCGCTAGCGGTAGTAGCGCTGCGCAGACGGCCGACGGTCCAAAACTTGGTCTGGCGAAAGGTGCTCTTGGTGTCGGAGCGCGGCGCGCCATGATGGCCGGCATTGTGGTGGACGGTGGTATTGTCGGCGGCGCGGTCGCGATTGGACGAGTTGCGCGTGAACCACCCTTTCACCTTTTGGTGGAAATGGATATCGCCATTTGTGTTTTTGGTGGACGGCATCCTGGAGGTGGTCGTCGTGATGGTCATGGGAAGAGCACCATGATGTGGATGTTTCGGAGAGGGAATGTGGTGCCAGTGCGGTTGTGCACGATGCGGGTTCCAGGCGGGCGGCCGATGGCAGGGAGAACAGCGAGACAGGGAGCCGAACCTGGCAAGATTGGTGAGCGGCTGACGCTCAGTTTCGGGGGTGGCGGCTGCTCTCAGCGAACAGCGAGCCGCCTGGCGGGCAGGGGTCTAGGCGTTCTCCAACAGCAGCCGCAACAGCGGGGAGTCACGGGATATGCCGCCCGAACAGAACCGGCCAGGCTCAGCCAGGGCACCTCCCACTTTCTTGCCGCTGCTCCGTGCCTGCTTCACAAAAATTCACTCAAGCTGCCTAAAGTACCAGGTACAGTACTTTCTACCTTCGTATGACGTTAGGGATTTCCGGGTTTTGCTGTTACGAATTCCTGCTCGTGTAAGGTGGATGCTCCCAAACCATCAAATAGGTGCAATGCCCGGCAGATTGGTTACCCCAGGCGCCAAGGTGCAGGCCAGGCTGAACTTTCCGAGAGCCAGGGGCTGACCAGGGCCAATCGTTCATCATTCAAATTCGACCTTTCTCTTGCTTTATCCTGTGTTGGAGAGGGCATTGACAGTTGCAATGGTTGGCCATCACAGCCTCTCCCCCCCAAAAAAACCAAATTCGGCTATGTCCCGCCGATTCCGGGAAGAACGGTTGGGGTCCTTGTGCTGCGGCGTCTAGAACACGTTTCGGCTTACAAACCCACCCACCTGCCCTGTTTGGAGAGCAGTTGTCGTACCACTGGGAAACAGAAAGGTTAACCCGAAACGACACTAGGCGGAGTATACGGGATGCTTTGGACACCATTCACTTTCATTCTGTCACCGTATGCTATGAAATTACTCGAACTCAATGTAAAGGTCTATAAACTGCCGATGATAGCCCGGATGCCGGTGCACCCGGCGGCCGCCTGGCCAACAAACATCGAGGCCTGGTGGGTGGCTAATTCAGGGGTACGAAGGCGCATTGTAACAGTTGTCTGTCTCCATGTGCGAGTCAGGCTTGTCTCGAGGTTGGTATACAGGGCGGTACGAGTGTGTAAATACCATTATGCTTTCTTTATCTTGACAGACCACTAAGAGTGATATTACAATGGCGAAAGTGGCCAACGGCCCTCGAAGAACAACATACACTGTAGTAGCATATGTATCTATGCGAGCTGCGTGCCATCCGGCAACGCCATCCTCGCCCGCTACAGCCCCGATAGCATATATATACATATCTGTCAAACAACGCTCCTATTCTCCCAAAATACATATATAAAGAAAGAAAAAAGGGCAGAAAACCAATAAGTAAACACACCCACCCACTTCCCTACGGCAACCACCCCCCCACGCACCCCCTCTCCGCGTACTCCCTCAACATGCGCTGCCGCTTCTGCTTCGCCGCCAGCGCCTCGCCCACAATCTCGAGCTCGCGCGGCCCGTAGTCGGGCTCGTCGGGCGCGTGACGGTCGCGCAGCAGCAGCACGCGGTTGACGCGCGCCGCCCGCCGCTTGCGCTCGTCTTCGTTCTCGATTTGTTGGGTTGTGATGGAGGGCGTGACTTGTTCGCCGGCGGCGTTGAAAAGGTAGGTTGGAAGTTGAGGGGTGGTGGTTTTGGTGGTGGTGGGTTTGGGGGGGGGAGTGGTGTTGCGCGGGCCGTCGCCGACGTGCCAGCGGATAGGGAGGAGGTGGGCGGTGTCGATGTGGCTGGCGAAGGATTCGCGCGAGTGGAGGGGTGTGCACGTGCAGGAGGCCCATCGACAGGGGAGGGTGATGGTGTGGTTTTGTTGCTGTGCGACGGGCGATGGGGATAGTGAGGTTGAGGAGGAGCGGGATGGTCGGCCGTGGACAACTAGTAGATGCCTACGCAGGGTTTCGACGTTCTGCAGCTCTGCCGGGCAGTCTTCCCACTCGCAGCGGAAGGCGACAAAATGCGGGTTAAGCTTGAGGTAGAGCTGACGCGCGGTGGGAGCGGGTTTTCGGCCTGGGCGGCCCCTCGGTTTTTGTTCGCCGGCCGGCTTCTTCGGTTTCGGCTGTGGTGTTGCCGACCCTGGTGGCAGCCCTGACCGCATTGCCGCATATGATCCATGCCCCCGTCTCCAACCAACTGGCCGGCCTCGCTTTTTGGGCTGAGGAGTGATATCAGGCAATTTGAAGGGAGCGGGAGCGGGAGCAACGGAAGGCTGCGTGTTAGGAGGGCCGACTTGCGCCTTTGCCGTCGGTTGTTGGTGGTGTACAACTGGATTGGGCACAATATCCGAAGTAATCAGGTTGGGTTCGTCGCTGAAGTCGTCCGCTAGTTCCTCTGCCGGTGCCGTGAGAGGGACTCGCCTAGGGCTGGAGTGAAGGACGACTTCCACCTTTGGCAACGTTCCGGCGGCGGATGCTCCTGGAAAGGGCTGCTGATGTTTGGGTTTCAAATCTTGGTGTTGCCCCGGGTTTTGTTTTGGGTCAGAACGAGGTAGGCTGACTAGTAGGTCGGCTGCCATATGGTCTTCTTTTTCAGCATCCCCCCGTTCTTGTTCAACGATCTGCTCGTCCCCTCCCCCCCCTTCCTCATACCCATACTCATATTCATCCGAGCCATATTCGGATGGTGATTTTAATGTTGCACCAAGAGAATTGAGGTTGGTGCTCGTTTCCTCCTCTAAATCCCAGTCCGGATCGTAAGGCATTTCATCCAAAAACCACTTAAGAGGAATCCCTCCAAGAGGTCGGCTAGGTTAACCAAGTTGATGAGATGACCGGTCGCAACCGTCGATAAAATGACGGTTATATACAGTCCAAGCCCGGCAACTTGATGTTAAAACAAAAATAACAACAGAGAACTCATTATACGGGCGAATTTTGATTCAACCCATAAGCTATGATGGTTGTCGAACAAGGGCGCCTCGACGCGATTAAGCTGACGTTTCGTGGTTTTGACAAGTATCGTGTATGCTCTGTAACTTACAAGAGAACTCAAGCCAAACCGCACAGGCCACACCATACCTAACCTTCATGTAACCCTAACCCTATGTAGGTTAGCATATATCACGCCTTGTTTGCTTCAACAACTCCGACACTTCCTTCCTTCTACAAGGAAAAGGAAATCATTGGGGAAAGAGAGATGTGTTGAGACTAATTGCCGACCTAGGCTATGGAGATATGGTATCAGTGGTTCAGTAATCCTCGATTAAAGTCCGGGAGGACAAGAAGACATTATTAATCACATTCGCGAATCGAGTCGCACCCGGAGCTCAGGTGCAAGGCGGGGTTACCAATTGCGTGAAGTCGTCATTGAAATCACCATCTCGGAGACTTAGCACCTCATTCTAAGGATAAGCTCCTTCTCAGAAGAGGCACATATAACACACCGCCGTCCACCTTCCACAAGTTCACTTCTTCTCACACCCAGCTCATCAAAGATCAAACACCAACACATCCATCCACCCTTTTACTACACACCCACCCTACTACTACCTTACCCAGAACAAACCCCAGAAAAACAGCCATGGCCGTATCGAAGTCCTTCTACGCAATCGTAGCCGGCGTCGGCGCAGGCACGGGCCGCTCCGTCGCCTTGCGCTTCGCCCAGGCCTACCCTGTTGTGCTGCTAGCCCGCAACCCGGCGAATTACGAAGACATCGTCTCAGAGATCGAGCAGCAAGGCGGCGAGGCGCTGGGCATCAGCGCGGATACCTCAGACCAGGCAGCAATCACATCCGCGTTTGCGAAGATCAAGACCGAGTTTGAGGGGCGCGGGTTGGGGCTGGCTGCTGCTGTTTGTAAGTGTTTTGTTCTGGCTGGGTCATGTGTGTTGGGGGTTGGTGGAGTGGCCGACTGTGGTTACCAAGAAGTGAAGTAGTGGGATGCTGATATGGTTGGGGATTCAGACAATGTCGGCGGCGGATTCGCAGTCAAGCCCTTCCTCGAGTTGACGGCATCCGACCTCGACGCCGGCCTCGACAGCAATGCGTATGTACACGCCACACCCCTTTCCCACTCAACCCCCCCAAAACAAACACCCCCCCACCTAACCCAACCCCAACAGACGCGGCCTCTTCCACTTCGCGCAAGCCACCCTCCCCTCCCTCCTCGCCTCGGTCCCGACGTCCCCACACCCACCAACGCTCCTCGTGACGGGGGCGACGGCGTCGGTGCGGGGGTCGCCGCGGTTCGCGGCGTTCGCGGCCGGCAAGTTCGCGGGGCGGGCGCTGGGCCAGAGCCTGGCGCGCGAGTTCGGGCCCCGTGGTGTCCATGTGGCTCATGTGATTGTGGACGGCGTGATTGATATCCCGAGGACGAAGGGGTATAACGTAAATGAGGGGAAGGAGGATGGGAAGATTAGTCCGGATGCGGTGAGATTTTTCCTAGTTCTTTTCTTTCCTCCACCTTTTTGGGGTGTTTGGTTTTGAGGTGGTGTTCTGTTGCTGACTTGGCTTGGCCTAGATTGCCGACAGCTACTGGCATTTGCATACGCAGCATCGCTCGAGCTTCACGCAGGAGCTGGATCTGAGACCGTATGTTGAGAAGTTTTGAAGGGTGGTGCAGAATAAGCCAACCTAGGAGGATGCGTTAGTGAGTTGGGGCAGAACAGAACAGGAGACGTCTTCGAGAGCAATTGGGCGCAATGGACGAACGCTCGTGGTTGGTAAAGCATGCGGAGGGAGGGCTCGGGCTAGCTGAGCCCTGATATCGAGATATATTTGGCCGCCAATCCTATATAATCGATTCATCCAGCCTGCGCCTGTGACCTTGGGAACTGATCAAGTTGTTGTAGCCTTGCTCGATCCGGGCACGCCTTCCTATGGGTCAATCTGAGCTGTCCCATAGGCGCAGACGTCCGGAGCGGCGCGGCCGACGCCGGATGCCGGTGGAGGGGGAGCGCTCTGTGGGCTCGCTTCCCTCGTCCGGCCGCGCGGCGTCGTGGTTTGGTCGTTGTGTACAACGCTATTTCAAGTGTTGGGCACTTCTTCCGGCTCTGCCGCCTCCACTGGCTCGCCGTTCGGCTCATTGCTCGGGGGTGGAAGGCCGTGCATAGCAGCAACCCGTTCCGCCTCTTTCTTCTCCCTGAGCGCTTCAGTCTCCTGCCGTAGCCTCTCGAGATTCCACGCGCCGTCGTCTTCGTCCTCCGATTCGTCGTCGTCTTCTCCGCGCCAGTTGCCGCTCTCGAACATGGCACGGCCAGTCGCCTCCTTGGCCTTCCGCAGTGCTTCCTCGGCCGCCTTCTTGTCCATACGCTCCTTCTTCCACTTGGCGAACGACTCGGGATTCACCGGCGTGAGGGTCCCGGTGAGCTTGTGCCTCTCCGACTCGAGGAACTCCTCGATGGTCAGGGTCTTCAGTGGTGACTTGTCCATCAGGGCCTTCTCTGCCGCCCTCTGTTCCTTTGTCTTCAGCACGAAACTAAGGGGTGGTTAGCTTATTCTACCATAAACACACGCCCTCCCATACGTACCCAGGTGGAAGAGCATGCTTGTACATGCATTTGTCGCCGCCATTGGGACAAATCCAGAACCATCCATATTTGCCGTCCTCGATGGCCTGGATGAAGAACTTGCACACCTTGTCCGTTGTTGTGCGCTGGTTGCCTTTCTTGGACAGGACGACGGACCGAAGCTTGTCCTCGTCCCAGTCGGCCGACGTCTCCTGCTTCTTGGACTCCTCCTCCTCGGCTCTGGCGTCCTGGTAGAGGTTGATCTTTTCGACCTTGCGCTCGACGTCGAGGTTGTGGGCGAATTTGCACTTCTTTCCCTTCTCGCAATTTCCTTTTTTGTAGAAAATGCAGACGACTGTCTTTGGGTCTACGCCAAAAGGCACCTTTTGAATCTGGGCGGGCTTGTTGAGGAGCGCATCTGTCTCCCGCTTGGCTTCCTCGGCTGCCTTCTTCTCGCGCTCACGAGCGGCCTTCTCGGCTTCCTTGCGCTTCTGGGCAGCACCGCTGCTGGCTTCGAGTTGGGCGATCGTCTTTTTGGCCGCACCACCTTTCTTATTCTTCATGCCGAAGGTCTTGTCTTCGACCAATTTCTTGGCATCGACCTTCTTGCCGCCGCCCTTTTCGGCTTTTTTGGGAGCCATGGTGGGCTAAATTACAGATTTGGCGGGACGAGGAATGGTATCGTGGTATTGGCAGTGTTCGTGGACCTCGTCGAAGAAGGAAGTGGTTTGTAGGGTGGTGGTTGTCAAGTTTTTGCGCCGAAGGCAAACCCGCAGTTTCCAGGCGGGGATCCCCACGAAGACTGTTGAGCGGAGAGTCTTGAATGGCCTCCAATCCCAGTTTGTGCCCCACGTTGCCGTCTCCAGCCCTGACGTGTGAGCCTGCCTGCCAGTGAGGGTGTGAGGCGAATGGCGCCACGTGACCCACACCTGAACCCTGGCCTGGGGCCGGGGGTACCTCGAGTTTGCCCAAATGCGCCAAGCCATGGGTGGGACATTGCCTGCCGGATGTTTCGCGACGCTCTGGAAAGCTGGCCAGATCCAAGCCATCCAAAGCGCGCCATTCTCGAGACGACACCGGCCACAGAACAGCAGCAGACGAGCGAGGTACGACCCTGATTCCCACTCGGTTTTGCGCCATTTTGTAAAACTAATTGTACCTCCAGGAGTCAATTCCGCCCTTCAACCCTCAACTCTCTAGCGCTCGACCGGCCGGCGTCCACCCGTTTCCACCATGATCACAGACACAGAGCTCTACCGCCTGGCCATTGTCCTCGGCTCGGCGGCGATGGTGCTTATCATTCTTTACCACTTTTTCGAAGTCAACTCTGGCGAGGAAGAGAGCAGCACATTGAAGTCAAAGAAGGCAGCACCGCAAACCACACCCGCGTCAACCAAAACGAAATAGACGGCGTGTTGGAATTGGGTGTACGATACGACGATAGAGGGTACGAATCGTTTTCCAATCCGAGACTTTTCACGGCCAATCAGCGCATACCGGCGCATAGGATCTTTGCGCACCGCTTGGGATTGTCAATACGGCGGGCAGAGTCTGTGGTGCGACGCAGGAAAGACAATGTTTGTTAGGGCTGCGACGACATGGCAGGCCGGATGATGGAAGGGTTATATTCGGAAAACCGGCGGTTTAGGCGTCCTCGGTTTCTGCGCCGTTGCTGCATTGGTGATGGGCTCAATGGGTTTTTGCAAGCGAGCCAAGCTCTTGCCACAGGATATGGGTTGTCTCTATCCCATCCCGAGGCGATGCGGCCCGGTTTTCAAGACAAAGAGCTGGTGGTGGATGACACGGTTCCTCGATCAACCTGCTTCCAGAATAATAATTCCGTATTTTGTCAGGGTGACCCTCTTTGTAAAGCAGCGCGTTTTGCGCATGGTTAGCCATTCGCAATCGCAGTGACATGTCTATACGTCTACTTCCGTAGACAGCACGCCTTCCGATTGCAGATGATCATTCGCAGCTGTTTTACCGCCACGTACCTCTTGTGCTCGTTGCCGACATAGTACATAAAGGTATGCACGATGTGGTGAGTTGGCAGAAACATCGCATCGTTAGTCTGTTTGCTGGCAAACCAGGCTGTTCAATATTCAGCCCTAACCCTGGCTGCCTGGAAGGGACCTCATCGGGTGTGGAGCCCATGGTTGTTCTGAGCTCTGGCGCCTTGTCCAAATGTGGTGGTCGGTCATGTGATCCTCGCTTCGCCCCCTTGATCTGATCAGCTCGAGGTCAGGCTCTCAAGCCAAGTCTGCGCTCAAATTCTCGCGCGACTCGCTCCCGCTCCTTGTTGCTTCCCACTCTTACACCCTTCATCAGCGACTTCATCGACCCAGCGCATTTATCATCCTGCTCACTTCTTCTTGGGATTGCATCACCTGTTGCTCGCCTGAATACTTCAGTCAACCGACAACAAACAATCAGTCACTTCTCGTTTTTCTTTTGCCACCTAATTACGCCAGCGCGACTTGACGCGACGTGCACCAGCAAAGAAAGACCAAGCAATTCGGCCATCGCCCGATCCGCTTCTGCCATTCAACCACCCAGCGAAACTCATCGCCTTTTCGCATCGCGCATCTCTACCAGTTAGAACGCTGCGCACGCCTCTCAATCATCCATCAAAACCCACATCTATCAAGTTCCTCGCTCTCGCTCACGATCGCAATCATGTCCGGCAAGCTCGACCAGACTCTTGATGAGATCCTCACCAGCCAACGGCGCAACCAGCAAGGTCGTCGCCGCTCAACTCGCCGCACAGCTGGCACCACCCGGCCTGCTCCCGCTGCTCCGGCCGGTGGCATTCAAAAGAGCACCAAGCCCGCTCGCGGCGCAAACAAGCCCACTCCCACTCGGGCCGGCGGCGTGACCGGCGAGAGCAAAATCATGGTCAGCAACCTTGTAAGTCGATTCCAACAAAATATGCACCAGGTATGGGAGTAGGTAGCTAATGTTTCTCGCTAGCCCAAGGATGTTTCCGAGGCCCAAATTAAGGTATGTTATTACCAGCGAGGCCATTAAACGCTTCGAACTCTTTGTCGGCGCACATCTGGCGCGGCATATTCTATCAGCATCTTGTCCTCGTGGACAATAGGGTGGTCATTCCCTCCAACCCCAACGCTTGAAAGCGACTGTCATGATGCCTCAGTTCCTTCCGATGCGCAGATCGGGCACCACCTCCTGCGTCATCATGGTGGCTATCAGGCCCCTGGAAGTTGAGCGAGCTCGCGTCTAGCTGCGACCTCATCATCGGGCAGCCTGGCAAGCTCCCGTGATTGAGAATCTGCGCGGACAATCAGGGCGACGGCGATATATCAGACAGCGCTCAGCTGGGTGTTATGATCGCATCTCGCCTGGCTGGTCACTAGGTTGATGATCATGCGATTCAGCGAGCTTAGCAGTGAGCAAATGGCGCGGGTCTTGTTATCTCCCCTTCTTGGCCGGGCGGCGGCATGGAGGCTGAGTCTTACATGGCCGTAGCGGTCCTCGAAATCTCGGTCGTGTAGCGGGGGTGGGATAATCCCAGGTGTGGGTTACGTTTGCCTGGTCGGACCACGTTCGCCCTGTCTCGAACGCGGAGTCAATCGAACGGTTTCAGCAGAGGTCGGAAGTGTCTTGTTCGCTTTCTGACCGAGGGAGGCTACGTTTGGGGGGTCGGCTCACTGCTCTGCTCGCTGGTTTGGTTGCCTATCCCTAGGACGCCTACACGACGGAACGGCTCGATGATCTGTGGACCTATTTTTTCGGAAACGGATGCTCGGACTCACAATTTTAGTTGACGCTAACCAAGGATTCCCTTCGATAGGAGTACTTTGTCCAATCAGTCGGCCAGGTCAAGAAAGTCGAGATTTCATACGGACCCGGTGGCGTCAGCCGTGGCATCGCGCACGTCTCGTTCCAACAGGCGGACGGCGCCAGCAAGGCTTTCGCCACCCTAAACGGTCTGCTCATTGACAGCAAGCCTGTCAAGGTAGGACTGATCTGCCCTGGTTAATATGTGAAAGTAGTGACTAACGCTCTTCGAGGTCGAGGTTGTCGTTGCCTCTGCGGACCTTATCCCGCAGCCCAAGTCGCTCGCCCAGCGCATCGCGCAACCCAAGGCCCAGCCCAAGTCCGCTGCGGCTGTCAAGAAGAACGCAACCGCTGGCAAGGGCAATGCCGCCGCCAGCAAGGGTGCCAAGAAGACAGCGCGGGGCGGCCGCAGCAATCGCGTGGTTAAGAAGACGGTCGAGGAGCTCGACTCGGAGATGGCCGATTATTTTGTCGGCGGCAACACAGACAACAACGCCAATGCTGCTGCTCCTCCCGCCGCCGCTGGTGGTGACGCCGCGATGGAGGAGGATGTTCTTTGAGCTACGACCTGGCTCTATTTACTAATACTATGACGCATTTCTTCTTTTTCCTTTTCAATGATGGGCTGTGTTAGAAGAGAATCAATTGACGAGAACTCTGACGTTACGCCCAAGTGCTCGAATTGAATGCCCCATAACCCTCCTGTGTAACCTAATGCTGGGTGGATGTTATAATTATACTGTGTACCGAAGGGCGCATCGTATTGAATGACAGGGGCCCAGAAACACCCTCGCTGCTCAGCTCCCAGCAGCCTCGCCCCACATCAGCCTCACAGCGCCCCTCACCCCCAAAATTTCAGAACCGAAACCCCAAACAGGCCGAGCTGCTAAACAAAGCTCCTAACCCACGAACAACTTAGGAAGGACATCGGCCACCTTTCCTAAACGCCCCTTACCAAACGAGGGATAATAATTTTTGACCTAGCATATATGGTGTGGGGGGGCATAACGAAACTAAATTAAATTGAACTAAGCGAAAAAACAAGCGACAATGGCATCCAGCCAACACGTCCTCCTCTCCCCCGCCGAGCTTGCCTACCTGCACGCCTCGCTCTCGCTGGCCCCGCCTATCCGTCCGGACGGCCGCTCCCCGACTCAGTTTCGCCCGCTCGTTGCCGAGACGGGCATCTTACCCGGCACCAATGGCAGCGCAAGGATATGCTTCGCCGACGGCACCGAGGCGATTGTTGGTGTCAAGGCCGAGGTCGAGAGGACTGCACAACGACCTGGGGAGGATACTGTCTTTTTTGAGGAGGGCGGTGCGGGGAGCGATGATGTTGACGAGGAAGGAGAAACGAGAGAGGGCGTGGATAAGAGGAAGGGAGACGCCTCATGGGTGGAGATGACGGTTGAGATCCCCGGGCTGAGGGATGACGATTCGGGGACCGCCTTCCTGTCAGCCATGCTGAGCGAGGCGCTGCTTGCCGACGGGGAGTTTGCGAAGCGGCTGTGGATAAACCGACGTTTTCACTGGAAGCTATATCTCGATGTACGTCCTGCCCTGTCCTGTCTTGCACCGCCCACCCTTCCCTACCTTACCCTACCCCCAACGGACTCCTAACGCGCTGACCAACATCACCAGATCATCCTCATCTCCCCGCCGCTCTCCTACCCCCTCCCGCTCCTCTCTCTCACATCCCACCTCGCCCTCCTCTCTACCCGCCTCCCGCGCCTCAAGTCCGAGGGTGACGAAGACCCCTTCTTCGACGACGACTGGGCCGTCGCCCCCCACCTCTACCCGCGCACCGCCGCCACCACAACCCGCCCGCCAATAACTCTCCTCGTCATGGCCGTCGGCAACAACATCATCTTCGATCCCTCCAAGGAAGAGCTCACCGTCGCCGACGTCGCCCTCGCCGTGTCCGTCACCAGCGCCCCATCCCCCTCCTCCCTCTCAAAACCCCACACAACCGACGCCGAAGCAGCAGCAGAAGCAGAAGCAGAAACAGACCCCGAAACAGGGCGAAACCTCCGCCTACTCTCCATCCGCACCATCGACCCGCCGTCGCGACTCACGCCGCCGGGGGTCGCCAACGCGGTCAATGCCGCCTATGGCGTGGCGGGGACGCCCAAGACACTGGATGCGCAGACCACGGCCGAGACCGAGGCCGTCGAGGGCGTGTGGAAGGCGCCCCGCGGGGGGGCGAAGAGGGCTGTGCTCGCGGCGCTGGTGCAGAAGGTGTTGGAAAGGGGGGGCGTTGTGGATGAGGTGCTGGATGCGTTGGAGGCGGTGGAGTTGGGGTGATTGGGGGTTGTTTGGGGAGGGGGGTAGGGGGAATGTGGGGGTGTGTGTTGTGAGTTGGGGGGAGAGTGGGTGGGTGGGTGGCATAGGGACTGTTGTCTTGTCATGGACATGATGCTTTTGTTTTCCCGTCCATCCATCCATCCATCCATCCATCCATCCATCCGCCCCGCCGTCCGTTTACATCTACGCCGGCCTTTTAATGTATTGTACAATCCATCCCATGTATGGCTACAAAGTCGAGCTATCCAGCCCAATCAAAAGATACCCATCCACCCCTTCTTCGCCTTCTCTACTACCGCCTGCCTCTCCTTCTCCGACAACCGCCTCACGTCATGCTCCCCATCCTTCTTAGCCCCACTACTCTCCGCAGCAGCAGCAGCAGCAGCAGCAGCCACCACTCCCTCCCCCCCACCACGACCGCCCTCCACCGCAACATCCGCAGCATCCGCACCCTCATCTGACCGAATCCTCGCCATCGGCTGATTAAACAGGCCCATCTCATCCGGCAGGCCATGCGCCTTGCGGTACGCCGCGCGCTTGGCCACGTCGTCGACGTTGCGCCGCCGCTTCTCGTTGATGCGCGCCGTCTTGTGCGCCTCGTGCAGCCGCACCACCTCGATCACCATGCGTGTCGACGCGAGCGGCTGCCGTAGGAAGTCGGACCGGGAGGGCAGCATGTCGGCGAAGGGTGAGGTCTTTTGGAAGGATAGTGTGAAGGTGAAGATGGCGAGCGTGGTTAGGGTGCCCTGTTGTGGGGGTGGTTAGTTGGCAATGGTGGGCAGTGGGGGGGAGGGAGGGATGAGGAAGGAAACAACGTACGACGGTGATGACGACGTGGATCCAGCGGTTGTGCAGGATCCGGTGGGCCATCGTGTGCTCTGGTGGTGCCATCCCCGGGTAGTCCCTCACGGCCTGCGCTGAAGCTTCTTCATAGCTGAGCTCCCCGCCGTAATGACGAGGCGGGGTATTCTTGGGGAGACGGGCGCCGTGGGAGGGGGGGTTGAAGCGTTCTGGCTTGGCGAGCACTCGCCCTCCGGGAGGGGGATTCGGTTTGGTGCTGGCGAGCCGGAGGAAGATGCGGCCCGGGGCGGAAGCGGAGGTCGGGATCGGGGCTGCCCGGCGCCAGATCAGGCCGGACTGGGGGAGGAGGAAGCGGGGGATGGAGGTTGTTGTGGATGCCATCGTTGCTGTGTCTGCCTTTGCTTGTCGGGTTCGGGCGAGACTCGGGCGAGATCCGCACGGGGTGGACGCCGCCAGGAGGATGACAGACAATTACAATTGGTGACCGGATCGGACCCTCGGCCTTCAGCTAGCAATTCACGGATCAGCGGACGTTGGGGTGCGGCTCAATTCGGGCACTTGGCGAGTGCTCAAAAAAATCGCGTGCGACTGTTGCTGCAGGTCCCTCTTGCTATCCCGTTTTGGCTAGCGCTCTTCTCCCCTCCTCGGGGATGTCAGTCTCAAAAAGCAGGGAAGGGACAGGTCGGATGAGGTGCCGGTCATTCCCGAGTTTGCCCGGAGAGACTGACTAACTCTCAGAACCTGATTGGCCCGCGTTACTAAAAAGTGGGCAGAGTTTTCAGACCCGCTGTGGCTCGCCTGGATTGAAGCAGAGCTTGGCAGCGGTCATTGAAAGAAAAATCCGGTACGGCCCATGCCTATGGCGCAGCGCCAACTAACACCTCACCCTGAATTTTTTCTCGAACTCTTTCCTGCCTTTCTCACATCCAACCTCAGCTCACGATACCTGCTCCTCTCCAGCTACACCGAACTTAACGCACTTTTAACTTTTAATACCCAAACATCAAAATGGCTGGCGGTATGTATACAATGCCTGTTACTCGCTTCCGCTCTCCCGATCTCGAATATGCCCGCTTGCCGCTGTGGCCATAGGATGGCTACCTTCAGCCATTGGCACCCCATACACGACTGGGAGGCTCGTAGGATGGCTTGCTTCGTTTGGCCACACCTTGCACCTCGAAGTCTTGGAGGGGGTTCGCCGCTCTCGCTTATGGAAGCCCAGGCTCCTCACCGGCCGCAATCCTGCGTCATTTCCCGGGCGCAAACCGAATCGCGAGCCAGCGAATGAGCCACGGTTGTCAGAGCACTACACAGCGGAACGGGCTGTTCGAGAATTATCAGCACACGTCTTTCCATCGATCCGGCAGGAACAGCTAGCTGACGAGACTCGCCATAGGTGACATCAAGAAGGGTGCTGGCCTCTTCAAGACGCGCTGCGCGCAGTGCCACACCGTTGAGCAGGACGGCGGCAACAAGATCGGCCCTGCGCTGCACGGCCTGTTTGGCCGCAAGACCGGCTCCGTCGACGGCTACGCCTACACCGACGCCAACAAGCAGAAGGGCATCACCTGGGACGACAAGACTCTGGTACGTTTGCCTTGGCATACATAGCCTTAGACATGGCCCTGGCTTTTCTTGCTAACACTCCCTCAGTTCGAATACCTCGAGAACCCCAAGAAGTACATCCCGGGTACCAAGATGGCGTTCGGCGGCCTCAAGAAGGAGAAGGACAGGAACGACCTGATTGCGTATGTGCTCCTCTTCTACCCTGTTTAGTTCCCACAGCATACTGACGTATACCTCGCAGCTACCTCAAGGATTCGACGAAATAGATCTCGCAATAACCGGGATTTCGACGTCGTTGTATTACTAGCTACACCAATTCATCACAAAAAAGCGAATCCCCACCGCGGGATTGCCGGTTGCGGTTGCGAGGGAGACAGGGAGTTGGTCCGTTTTTGCTATGGCTTTTTTGCATTAGACGGGACGGCTCTTGTACAGCACTCACAACAGCCATTTACTACTTCTACTATTTTGTACCATAGAGAGACGACGACGACACTACAACTAGACGAGATGTCCTCGGGCGGCGCAGCCTGATTGATGAAGAATGATTCCCACTCCTCAAGACGCCTTCCAGTTCTGGTTTTTTGTGCAGCGGGTTGAGTTGGGGCGTGTACATGTGAATGAGTGCGCTGGCGTTGAGACAGGAGACAGGCTAAATGCTTCAGTTGCCGAGATGCCGAATCCCGAGAAAGCACTCGTCTACAGCGGGATGTCCGAGCAGTGACGACAAAAACAAGAACAGGGCAAAAAAGAGTACGCTTCCCCATTGATAACATGCCGCGGAACTGGTTGGACTTGAGCTGCGCGCTTGACTGCAGCCGCACATTCCGTCATCGGTCAGCGTCGTGGCCCCAGTTATAGCCAGCCAAGTTGCTCTGATGCTGCGGGCACTGAAATGGCAATGGCGGTTTTCTCGTAGCAGGGTGTTATTACCGTGGTCACCGCTACACCAGCAGTGACCAGTCGCCGAGGACAGCATCTATCAATCACAAACAACAGAAACAAAAAAAAAAAAAAAAAAAAAAATTGAGGACATGGAATAGGCAGGCAGGTAGATACACCAACAACATAATATATTCACCCCCAGCCTCACCCCCAAAATTCCCAACTATATCCCTACCCTACCCCTACCCTACCCCTCAAGCGTATACCTCCCAGCATCCTTCACACTCGGCTTCGTCTCCCTCAGCGCCCTCTCCCAGTCCGCCGCCGTGATCACCGGGTCGGCCGCCGCACCTGCAGCGCCGCCGCCCCCACCCGTCCGCTGCATCAGGTAGGCCCGCTCCAGACAGGCTTGCGCCGCCGCCTGCATCAGGTTGCCCAGGTCGGCGCCCGAGAAGCCCGTGCAGCGTATGTCGAGGGCGACTCTTTCGAGGTCCGCTTCGGGGGTGGTTGTGGTGGTAGGGAGGTCGGTCATGTCGACGTCGGTGCCGGCTGCTGTGGCGGCCTCGAGCTGGCGGCGCTCGGCGCGGGCCTTGGAGACGGTGTTGCGAAAGAGGGTGCGCAGGATGGCGACGCGGTCCGGGGCCGAGGGCAGGCCGACGTAGATGCTGGTGCCGAGGCGGCCCGGGCGGCGGATGGCCTCGTCGATGATGTCGGGCCGGTTGGTGGCGCCGATGACGTAGATGCCCGAGCGGTCGCCGACGCCGTCGAGCTCGGTGAGCAGCGTGTTGACGACGCGCGCGCTGGCGTCCGAGAGCGAGTCGTCGCGCCGCGGCACCAGCGCGTCCATCTCGTCGAAGAACAGGATGCAGGGGGCCGAGGATTTGGCCCGCGCGAATAGTTGTCGCACTGCTCGTTCCGACTCCCCCACGTATTTGTTGAGTAGTTCTGGGCCCTTGATGGAGATGAAGTTGGCCTTGGACTCGTTGGCCACCGCCTTGGCCACGAGCGTCTTTCCGCACCCTGGCGGGCCCCATAGTAGAATACCCGCGGCCGGCTTGATGCCCACGCGCGTGAAGAGCTCTGGGTTTTTGATGGGCCCGATGATGGACATCTCAAGCTTCTTGCGCACGTCGTCGAGCGCGCCCACGTGCGCCCACGTCGTGTCCGGGATGGTGCTGAAACCCTCGCGCTTGGAAGCGGGTTGGACACGCGATACGGCGGACTTGAACTGGCCCATGGTGATATGGCTCTCCTCCCAGGGCGCGCGGCGGTGGTCTTCGAGGAGGACCCAGTCGCGTTGCTTCTGCGAAGCCGCGGTGAGGTAGTCGGGGGCGCCCAGCGCGCGGGCTTTGCGGAGGAGATCCTCGAGCTTGCCGCGGCAGCTGCCGGACACGGCGGCCTTGACGACGTACTGGAGGTCACTACCGACGTAGCCGGGAGTCAGCTTGGCCAGCTCCCTAAAATCAACGTCGTCTGCGAGGCTGAGATCGCGGGTCAAGGACCGGAGGATGTGTTCGCGTGCTTTCTCGTTTGGCATCCCCATGTCGATCTCGGAGCTGAAGCGGCGGCGGATGGCCGGGTCTAAAAAGTCGGGTCGGTTGGTAGCCGCTAGGACTACCACGTTCTTGCCCAGCGGGGTTTGTTGTTTAATGCGGTCCATGCCGTTCATGATCTCTGCCACGATACGGCTCTCCATTCCCTTGTTGGCGCTCTCTCGCCTCCCCGCGATGGAATCAATTTCGTCGAAGAACACGAGGCAGGGTGCGAGGCGAATGGCCTCGTCGGAACACGTCGCGGATGTTCCTTCTCGGGATTCACCCCGATGTGCCTCCGACGATGGACGGCCCCAGACACCGGGGATGAAAGGCAGCGCCTACGCTCCCGGGCGACGGGCATGGGCGAGCGTCGTCTTTCCGCAGCCCGACGGGCCGTGGAGCAGGACGCCCATTGTCATAGCGGTAGCCCATCTTCTCGCAGGCCTCGCCGGCACAGAGCGGAAAACCACACCTCGTCCCAGCAGCCTGTCGAGCGTATCGTCCACACCGGCAATGTCTAGAATAGATACGTTTGATGGAGGGCTCCGGTCGACCTCCTTGGGGCCACTCTTCCGCTTCTTGGGTCGCGGTTCCCCATTCGCTTGCCTGTCCCCGGTAGTGCCAGGAGTATCCATGCTGGGTGCCCTCCCAATAGCCTCGGGTGGTGGTGCACCAGGCGTTGTAGCTGGTGTCGCAGCAGGTGTGATGGTAGAGTCTGTACCGGCGCTCTTCTCGCTCTTTTCGTTGTTCGCGAAACCCCAAGCCTTGGCGATTTGGCGATTGATGATATTCTGGTCGCGTTCCGCCTTTGCCGCCTTTATCCTTTCTTGATCTTGGGCCTCGAGAGCATCGTCCGAGTCTTCCTGCTCGTCCGCTTTTGATTGGTCTTTCCGTACCGCCAACACGCGCTCGATGGACTCTTCCAGCGTCTTCTTCTTCTGGCGGGCAAGGCTTGAGTTTGAGCGCTTGATACTGTACGTAGACCGATCCTACAGTGAGTCGGGGTTTCCGCCCGCTTTCACTCCCTTCTTCTTCTAGTTTGAGAATAATTTGGTAAACCTCACGGTCTAACCCCAATCTCATGTTGCCTCCTTGCCGCCGTGACATGCCGTGTGTTGGTATCAATAAACAGAACAGAAAAGGAATGAAGAAAATAAAGTAAAATGAGGAAATAAAACAGTGAGAGCCGTTTACGGCGTCAGTCTTGTCCGATCCTGACAAGTCGGTTTGGCTGTGGCCGAGATGTGCTTGCTTGTGTGATCATGAATGAGCTCGGTTAGTGAAATGCAGTCAAAAAAAAAAAACTGGAGAGCATTGAAGGGTACCGCTGCCGTACAGTGCCGCGGTGTCCATATAACGGTATGATGCTCGAACGTTCCCGACTTCCCCCACGATACCCACCTAGTTTACTTAGAAGTTAGGTTTGTAGTTTTTAATTCACTGACTGGATCTGGTATATTCTCTTATCTCGTTTCTTCAAGCTAACCGAGCTACCATGCGACAAGAATGGAGCACAATGTAGTTGCAATAGGTAGTGTTTCTTTTCGCACTGTGGCACAGCCAATCAGAAGGCGGGGGATGACACGAGATTGGTCGAGATGAGAGATGAGGGATGGAGAGGAGAGATGGAGAGAGCTGGGGGAAGACAGGAAAAACTTAGAGGAGAGAGAGGTGGGGGTGGGGGGGGGGGTTGAGGGGTTGAGACATAATAGGAGTGAGAGTCACTATAGGGAATGTGAAAGAAGGAATGGAAATATGGAGGAAAGATTGGGAGAATGGCACCAGCCCTAACCCTCGTCATCATCATGGAAGTCGCCCTCTCAACTAGTTAGGGAACAACAACTTGGATGGCTTAAATCTTGTGGTAGAGAAGGTAGGTAGCATGGTCAACACAAAATCTGTCAGCAATCCGTCAACGACCCCCCTCCAGCATCCATCCCCATCAATCCACCACCACACCAACTTCCCCAGCCTCCAATAACTCCTCTCATCGCCCTCGGCCGTAGCCCTTGTCCTCGGAATCCAACCTCGCCCATCGGCCCCAACCCCTTTACCTTGTCATCCACCAACGCTCTCGCCGCCAGATTCAACGTAAACACCAAACTGTTCTTCTAACACCCATCACGGCGCGCCCTCTCCCACACCCGGCCCAGCTCCAGCACCCACAGCACCGTCACGTACAGCGCCCACACGTCCGACTTGTGCGTCTAGCACCCTTTCCGGGGGTGGTCTCGGTGCAGTTCCGGGGCCTTATATGATTTCGGGCCGACGGCGTCGCCGCCCGCGGCCGCGATGACCGATCCGAACTCGCACAGGCCGAAGTCGCCCAGCTGGAAGTGGTGCGTGTGGGGGCCGGTGGTGTTGTAGAAGATGTTGTCGGGCTTCACGTCGCGGTGGACATACCCCAGTTCGTCCAGGTAGGCGAGCGCGGGGAGCATCTGGCGCAAGACTGAGTTGGCGAGTTGGGGCCGTCGCTCGGGGGGGTAGGTTTCGTTGAGGCTGGCGACGGTGCCCTCCATGAGGGACATGACGATCTCGACTCGGGGGCTGCCCCACCCTTGCGAGTGAAATGATCGGATGATGTGCGACTGGGATCAAGTGTTAGTCGTGGGATATAAAGGGGGTTAGAGGTGTGAGGGGGATATTGGGACGCTTACATGATTGAGACTGGGAAGAATGCGGCCCTCGCCCCGGTAGGCAAGAGCCATGATTTCTTTACCGTAATCCCCCTATTGCAACAGGACCTTGACGGCGAAGAGACGGCCGGTGCCCTTCTCGCGGGCTTTGTACGCGGTCCCAAACGAGCCACGCCCGAGGTCACCGACAAATTCGTAGTTCATCCTGTTGACTCTATTCAGGGGTCATGATACAAGCTGCACACCAAAACGACCCAAACTCTCTTCCCAAAGGGCGGTTTATATATTTAACCATCTGTTCCATCATGGCTAAAACTATGTTTCACGAACAAATATCTCGATATCTTTTTCAACCTTTCACACCTCACTGCACACCTCTGCCTTATCTATCCCCAGCAATGAGAGACGACACGGACTCAAAACTCAAACCGCCAAAGCCATCGATACGACGTATAAGTTCCTGCCTTCAAGACACGCCCGAGTTGCCATTCTCATCTTCTCTCAGGTAACCATCGGTCAGCTACCGTCCTAGCCTCGTTCCCCGGCTCGTCATCCGTGGCATTCTCTTCGGCTATAGCAGGAACTACGGCAGGCGCCCCTTTGTCCCCCTTTTGTTCCCCCTTTCTTCGTCCGCCAACAATGTATTGCTACCATTTTCTGATTAGTTTGGTCAGTCAGCCAAACTGTTTGTTAACAAAGAAAGGACTTATCTCCTAACATCTACCCACCCGACTCTCTCGGTAGAGGTAGTTGGAGCAGGCAAGGGCGAGAACCGTGGTCTGCTATTCTCTAATCACCGCATCAAATACAGTCAATCACAGCTTTAATCATTAGAGACGCTAGAATGTGCTCCATTCCCAAGTTCGTATAACCCACACGCTAGACTCTCCTACTTCCGCTCCGATGTAAAAACGAATGATGCCTATCCGCCTCCTCTCGCAACAAGTGAGGAGCAATTTGACAAACCCCGCAATAACAACGCCCTTTCCCTTTGACGCCCACGTCCCAAAGGGAAGAATGATGTGAAGACGAACAGAAAAACCAATGCAAGATACGCAGCCCGTTATATGCACCGTCCGCCACCGTCCAGGCAGCTAAGAATCCCATTCCCACCGTCCGTCCAAATTTGTACAATTTAACCCCCAGCTAAACAAGCTGGCGGGTAGAAAAAAACCACGGAAAAGCAAGGTGACATGACGCCCGAGCCAAGTAATAGACGGACAGAGATAGCGGGAATACACAAGGCCACATGACATACAGGGATGAAAAAGCCCGAAAGGCAAGGGGTTAATCCTCCCAAGCCTTGATACGCTTTTTCAAGAACTCAAAGGAGGAAAAGAAGACGGCATTCACAGCACACGACCGGCCCATGGACACACCCAGACCGCGGTACATGTTGCGTTGGAAAAATCGAATCTTGACGGGCTCGACGGTTTGGCCCTTAGAGTACATCAGGGAGTTGCGCTGATAGATTGATTTCGCCGAGTCGACTGGATCTGGATTGGGGAACGTGGATATTAATTAGATGGCTTGTACATTCAATATTGGGGGGGTGGCGTACAAATCAAAGCCCACGAGACGATACCACACAACCCTCCTGCGACCAAAACGGCGAGTGGGTTCGAATGGGTGCCGTCACCCCCGAAGGTGGTCAGGAGCTGTTTACTGCTTTCGTACGTCATGAAGTAGGTTGCTGTCCCGAGCGTGTCGCGCACTTCGGAATGGGGTTAGTTTTCGTCCTTGCCATGAATGACATAGAAAAGGGAATGAATCCTTACTGAGGTGTAACCTGAACCCCGTGTACAGCCCACCAACGCCCCGGTGCTTGATAATATTTCGAAGTGTCTTTAGCGTCCCTTTGTTCTGATAGCTCGCGGCGATCGCATGGCTCTCCGGCTTTGGGCAGTTCTTCTTGTCCGCCATCAGAACCGACACTTGGGCGCTGAGCTTGGTCAATTCGAAAGGGCCTGACCATGACAGTCAGTATCACAAACCCCGGTCGATGTCCAATCTCAAGCTCCCCGAACTTAACTCACAGGCTATGACAGTGATACAGGACCCGGCTGTTGCACCGGCCGCACCAAACGTCGCCACGGTCCACATGTTCGGGTAGCTGCCCGTCGAGCTGACGTGCCCCATAACATCGACACCAAAATTACGCTTGACCCAGTCGCAGTAGGCGTACTTGGAACGTTGATAGATGGAAAAGGAGACGGTCCGCACGAGCGTGATGCTAGCCATGGGCGCCGTGACGCCGCGGAAGAAACCCCGGAGCTTCTCCTGGTTGTAGGTGTGCTTGACGCAGTCCAGAAACCCGGCATACTGGTACGTTTGCATGCGTGTCTTGACGCTGTCGAGCGGAAACGTCGTCAGAGTGGATAGTACGCTGGAGGCCGAGGCGGCCACCTCAACGCGGTAGCGCTTGACTAGGCGCTGATAGCTCGAGACCGCATTGTTGCTGGGTGATGTTGAGTCATTGGAGGCGGAGGAAGAACTGCGACTTAAGGCAACCATTGCGGCTGCTGTCGCTAATCGGGGGTCCGGACAGATATCCTCATCATCGTTGGTGTCATCCCGTTTTCTCAGGTTCGTGTCATGCTTTTGTGGTTGCTGTGCCAATCCCTGCTGGCCATCTTGATGCTGTGAAGGGGACGAATACGAAGGCATGGTGGGAGATAGAGGACGACGTCCATAGGCTGGACCATTTTGTAGGAGAGGTGCGTGGTGGTGGTGGTGGTCGTTCTGGGTGGCGGTCTGAAACTCCGCAGGCATGCTATTTCCTGGCTCTTCCCGTTGATATTTCTCGTTGTTTAGCTTCTTCCGTCCGCTCTCTCGTATCGTGTCGTGTTATCGCGTCTCGGCAGGGCACCTCTCACGTAGCAGCCGTTAGCCAACAGACAGTGGTCTCGGGGGCGTCCGAGACCAGAGTCATCAGCAGCACGGTCGCGAAAGGGCCTGGGCCAGCGGGTGAGGGTCCATAAGAACCCCCGCCGGGTTGGTGAAAGGGATGCCCCTTGTCGTTCTCTTGGATCAATGGGCGGTCGGGTGCAGCATCAACGGGATCCGAAATAAAGGAGAAATGGGTGTATGGTTGACGATAGAACTGAGGGAGAGGGGCAGGTGCAGGCGTCGATATGGATGCCCTGCCCGTGGCGGGTCGGGCGTCAATTGGCTGATCGGCGGACGGCGGGGCCTTCAACTTCGAGTCGACTAGGTTGTGTAACGGCGATTACAGCTCGATGAGTATGTGGTGGAGGAGGCGATGGTTGGCGGAGCTTCAATTGCGGGGTTGCGATACAAAGAAGCTGCCTTCCATGTGGTGTGGTCCCGTCATGGATGGGAGTGCAGGTCGGAAAGCTCAGCTCTCTCTGCCACAAGCGAGTTGCAAGCATTGGAGATTCTGGAGCATTTTAGCGCGGGGCCCCGACCTCGGTGACTTCCGCCACATGTCTTTTCACCAAATTCAAGCAAGGAAAGAGGAATTACGAGCTGTGTCGGAGCTACTTGCAGAAGCGGGGGACTATGGGGAGATCGCCACACCACCGTTTGCCGCCGTTACGTTTATCGAGCGGTGGTTGGCATGCGGGACAGGCGACGATGGCTTCATGGCTGGTGAGCACTTGAGCAGGGGTAACGTCATTGCTGCACCATCGCTTGCCGAATTGAGGAGGGTGTCTGCAGCTAAGCGGAGCACCACCAACACCTCCCTACACCGGCAGCGAGCCGGCCTGTGATTCTGTCTCATCTGCACTTGGTTTTGAATTCATGCCGGGACGAAGTGGCCGCATCAGAAAATAACTCCTAACTTTGACAAAATGTATCCACCGATATTCTCCCAAATCCGCCGATGAGCAGGACATGAGCAGGACATGATGCCACCGCGATCCCTTCCACCGGGCCACGGGGTGTGATAGCCGATACCCCATACTTCCCTGCACTTTGGCGCCAGTCTTCAAGCCAACTGCACACCCTGTAGATCTGCTGCGGGCGATCCGTAAGAGGGTCCTCGAATTTGGGGTAAGAGTCGCTCGATTCCTGAATGGCAGCCATTCGACCAGTCGCACTTCCTCGGAGTGAGTGCAGACTACAATCAGACCCTCATTGGGGAAGCCGAAATGCAATTCCAGTTCCGTGGTGAAACCCGCTGCTGTGCACCGCATCGGCTCGGCTCCCACCGGCATCAGCCGCAGGCGCGGCCGAAGGGCTGCTGAAGCTCGGCAACCGCAACAACGGCGAGGGGGAATCCCCTTAGTGGGGGCGCGGCATTGGGGTCGTTGGTTGGCAACCGTCAGCCGGCAGCCGGTCCGGCAGACAGTACCCGCGATGAGTTCTCAACAAGGCTGTTCATCGCAGACACAAGCCCATCGTATCATTGAGCATGGCAACCGTACGTTCATAATGATCGTACTGCGTTCCGCTGATGGGGTCGTCCTGCCTTTTTCGACACATCACACATTAGCAATGCACTTTCTCAACAACTGCACCCCGAGAAGGAAGAAAAGGATGAAAAAAAAAAAAAAAAAAAAAAAAAAAACTGAAGGAAAAAGTGAAAAAAAAAGTGAAGAAAAAAAACGGGAAAATCAACTCACTCCTTCACCTCCTTCCCCCCCTTCCTCGCCTTCTCCGCCTTCTCCTCCCCCATCTCCATCTTGCGCACCCTCAACCGCCACGGCATGCGCGAGCGCTCGTTGGCCCGCTCCCAGTGCACGCGGCACAGGTTCTTGAGAATCTTGTGCTCGAGCCCGCGCTGCTGCGCCGCCGCGTTCATGAACCAGACCGTGTGGCGGACGCGCTCCGTGTCCAGCGTGCCGTGCGGGTCGCGGAAGCCCGCCCGCAGCTGCTGCGTTATTGTCGTGCGCGAAGGCTGCGAGTATTGTACGGCTCGCAGGGTGGCGCGGAGCAGGCTACGGTAGGCGTGGATAAGCTCTGGGGAGGCGGCCATTTCTTTTTCTTTCTTTCTTTCTTGGATTGTTTTTGGGGGTGGTGGGTGAGGTGTTGCGGCTTCTGTGAGTGGCGGTGGTAGTTTTGATATGAGTTGACGGTGAGTTGGGTTGAGTTGAGTTGAGTGCAGTTGAGTGGAGGTGTGATGCTGGGCTGTTTGACTACCTTACTTGGTGCACGGGCCAATCAATGATCTCGGCGAGCACATTTTACTCTCTCACCCGTGGTCAAGAGGATGAGAAAAAAGCCTCCAGATATCATAGCTGCTAGATTATGCAGTCGAGTAGAGCATGTATTGCACGGCAACAGAACCACGGTAAACGGGTCGGAATGGTGGCGGGCAAATCGAACTCTTGATTCAACTCTGCGGCGGCTTACAGAAACGACCCCATGCTACACACCCACTGGACTCCACCAGCAAACACTTCTAGATAGAATACCGAACCAAGAATCATTAGGTCCCAAGAGTAGAAAAGAGAAAGCATATCCCAGAATACCCTGCCATCCCAGCGGCAGTCACACGCATCCGCGCCATCTATATGCACCGAGCGATACCCAAGCCCAGGAACCACCCACCCCACCCATCCAACGAGTCTACTGTGTAGCTAGTCCCCATTGGTCCTCTAAACCGCACCCGTCTAGTTCTCCCGCTGCTCAACAGCCGCATACGCCCCACCGCTCCCCTCACCACTCCCTCCCCGTCCAATCATCTTGGAAAACCACCCACCTACTCCCCCAGAACCACCACCACCACCCTGGCTGGGCTTGATATCGGCCTCCACATCAACGGGCGGCTCGATGTCGAGCCCCGGGATTGCCGCGCTGGCAGCGTGCCTGCCCAGCGGCGATCTATTTCTCGCGGCATCAAGCCCGGTAATGGGCGACGCAGGCCGTAGGAGCGCGTCCGACTCGGCGTGGATGGCTGGGGTGCCCGCGGACGGGGTGTTGAAGGCGCGGGTCGAGTCGCCGAAGAGGACGTCCATGTCCTCGAGGCGGACGCCACACGTTTCGGGGTAGAGGAAGTACACTGGGACGAGAGAATTAGACACGGCATGGCTTGAGGAACAAAGGGCGGGTGGGGGACATACCAACTACGAAGCTGACGGCGCAGAAGAAGGCGTGCACGAGGTACAACCGCCAGGCAATCAATTCCTGCAGGATAGGCGTCATCTCACCCACGAGAAAGTTGAATGCCCAGTTCGTGGCTGTCGATAGACTGGCGCCCTTGGAGCGGATCTTGAGAGGCAGGATCTCGGGCGGGTAGAGCCATGGGATAGGTCCCCACGAGTATCCGAACGCCGCATTGTAGATGACTACGAGAATGACGACCAGCTTTGGCGTGGCAGGGATGTCGAGATACTGCACATACGCGATCAACGACAGCGAAAGCGTCATAGCAATAGCGCCCGAGAGCAAAATCGGCCGCCGGCCCCAGCGGTCCACGATATACCACGGTGGGATGGTTGATAGAACATAGGTGATACCGTTGATACCAGCCATCAACACGGCGGCGTGCCCGATCCACCCGGCTCGCTCAAAAAGGTAAGGCGCGTAGTACGAAATGACGTTGATCCCGTTCAGCTGGGCTAGCGCCTGCGCTGACATGGCGATGAACACGCGGCGTCCGTACCGCTTGAACATTTCACCGTACGTGCGCTCGCCCTCTTGGCGCTGCATGAGGACGTTCATCTTGATGTCGCGGAACTCGTCGCGGGCACGAGGGTTGTGGATGTCGCCACCACCGTAGAGGTTTGCAATGACGACGATGCCCTCCTCGTCATGGTCGTTGTCCAGCAGCCATCTGCGAATCGATTAGCATATGGAAAAGGCCTCAAGGGGCAAAAAGACGTACCTGGGTGACTCGACAATGATCAAGCTCCCCAAGCCGAGCAGGCCGCCCATAACGCACTGCATCAACAGAGGTAGACGCCAGGACAGGTCACTCTTGATGTACATGCAGAAATAGTCAACCCAAACCGAGGTAGCGTAGCCAATGATGTTCCCGGTGAACTCAATGCACGCGAGCTGGCCCCGGTTGTGAGGAGGCGAGATCTCGGACTGGTAGACCGGCACGATGGTCGACAGCATACCAACGCCGAGACCAGCCAGAACTCGGCCCGTCATCATCATGGCCATGTTCACCGCAAAACTCTGCATGGCGCCGCCGACGAAGAAGACGCAAGACCCATAGAAAATGGTCCTCCGCCGCCCGATGATGTCACCGACCCGGCCGACCACAAGGGAAGATATGAAGGCGCCGACTTCGAGGATCGCGACCATGGTCGCGATCTGCACCGGAGTCGGGTCATGGAAATACTCTTTAAAATACTCGCCGCTGGATGGGAGGTGTTAAACAGGTGGTGCTGGTAGTGACGGGGAAGGGGCTAAGCTTACATGATGATGCCTGACATGACACCTTGGTCATATCCAAAAAGAAAGACACCTAATGATACAAAAATCGAAGTAAAATACCTATGGCAAGCGTCAGCACGACGCACAGATGTGTCAAGTTGCTAGGCTGCTGGGATTAACCGACAGTAACGGCTTGCCCGTTAGGCCGTGGATCGAACTCGACCCGCCCGTCATGATTGCGGCTAGTAGGCGTTCTGCCCTGGATGGCTTGCGGTTGCCGATGTTTGGAATCTGGATGGCCTCTTTGTCGATGACACCAGCGTGCCGAGACGTGGACCGGCTGCTCCCGGAGGACAGCGGCTCTCTGTAACGAACCCGCTTCGAGTGGCGGTTGTGGTGTTTCTTCTTCAAGACGCCCGCGAGGGTGTCGTCGCCGTCGAGCGTCTCTGTCACCCGCTCGCGCAGAGGATCTTCGTCGTCGAGCTGCTCGGCGATGTCGCCCGTGTCTGTACACGAACTGTCGTCTTCTTCCGACTCAGATGAGTAGCCGGGATGGTCGACGGGGTGGCCGCGGCCGTGGGGTGCAAGCAGTGAGGACGCCTGCTCCCGATTGCGTTGGAGGTCTGGTCGCTCGCCGTGGGCGGGAAGTGTGCGGAGGGGGATGTTGGAGGGAAGCCTGGTGGGATTGGAGGAGGGAATCTTGAAGGTAATGGGGCTGTTCGGCAGCAGCCCGCGTCCGCGTGGAGTGCAGATGCACAACGATTGTGGGGGAAGTCGGGGGGTGTTGTCCGAGCTTGACGGGATCCGCTGGTGAGGGACTCATCGGTCAGCTGTCACGAGGGTTGCCGCAAAGAGGATGAGTCGGGTCTCCGGGTCTCGGGGTCACGGCGGCGGTGCAGAAGAATGGTTGGAGATGGCAGCAGTTGGCGAACAGAGGGACCGCGCCGTCCGCTGGAACACTCGCTAGCGGCGCGGCACCCCCATGGCTGCCAAGCCGCTAACCCACCATACAGGGGATGACCCCTGTTCACAGCCAACTTTCTGAGCTTTCTGTTCCTCCTGCTGCCTCCCACGGCTTGCCAAGTATGCCCTCTGGGCGCACATCACTGCAAATCACTACGAAATCTCGGCAAGGCGGCACCGCAATCCTCGACCCTTTGCTTCTGAGCGGTTAAACTGCGGTTTTGTCTCACCCCTTTCAGGGTCCACGGGACGGCTGAGAACGTCACGCGGAGTGTGCAGTGGGATTCGCCTCTGGAGGGCACTTCGTCATCTGGGCAAGAATCTCAGCCTGGCGACCCAGAAAATATCTATCAGGCTGACGGTCCAGATGAGGAGGGGCAAATGGGGTCAAATGGGATGGGGTTCACTCCGCACAGACGGAGTGAAACAAACCGTTGCGCACGAGCGCTACTTATTTTCCCCGAAACGGGGCTCTGAAGGGATTTGACGAAATTAAATCTCAGTTCCCCGGCCGCCGGGCTCGCCTGGGCGAGTCCATCGTGCGTTGGAGAGGGCGGCCGTCGTGGTGGCGTTCACGGCCAGGCAATATCCCAGCTTTTTCGACTGTTTTGAGATTCGCGAGATCGAACGGAATCAACCACCACCGCCTTCAAAATTTTCTCGGTTTCTGATGTTGTCAGCCATCAGCCAACAGCCCGGCCGGGACCAGCCGTGCCGCCATTAGGCCGTCGGGTCTATGCCGAATCTCGCGACCGTCTGCCCGGTCAGATTATGGCCCAAAACGCAGTGTGTAGTTATGGCCTTCGGACGGCGAATACGTGATATGGTTAGGGGCTCGGGGACTCAGGCGTGGACTAAGAGCAAAGTTATCGCCCTCTTGTCGCCGAAGTCATCCGGAGCGGCAACGGCTTGCAAGGCACTCCCGGAGCGGAAGTCTCGCGCATGAATCGCCGGGCGGCGCGAGGCGGCGCAGGCTGGGCACCGTGGGGCCGAATCCGCCGATAGTGGGACACAAGAGCCCGCGGTGCTGCCGCCTCTGCCTTCCAAGTACATACATCCACACAATGCATACAATGCATACAATGTCAAAGTGTTTAACTGTGTACACGCACAGTTGGTGGCTCGGGATTTTTAGATCTCGCAACACCTGGGACAGCAGAAATAACTAATGATCGTGGGTGTAACAGCTTCCATATGGCTATTTCGGTTGCTAGCATCTGTCGAGGATGCGAATCTGAGACTCGAGAGCACCATTGGACCAAACAATGCCCTTGGGAAAACCCAATCTCGGATGGGCGCATGGACCGACTGACTCGCATGGCCTTGGCTGGGATATTGAAGGGAAGGCCATGCACCAACCTTTGGGATGGCCCACAACGACGGGCCGGCGCCACAGGCCAACCAGTCCCAGCCGACCAGTCCTTCAAATGTGGCTTGGACAAAGACGTGTTTCGGAGCGTCGTCATCGGCCTCTTTTTCAGCACCCAACTCATCATGCATACACGACCCCCAGGTTCCAATCCATCATACTACCATAGTTATTGTGAAGACGAAAGTCGTGGAAAGTCGTTTTCGGGCTATCCTCCGGGCTGCTAGCCCAATCTCTCTGAGCCACCAATTACGAAGTACAGTGACAGGAACCGCCTGTTTTCACCATCCCTTCTAAGGTTTTAATGGCAAGAAACTAAGGACATCCCTGCCGCCACACCGCGCCGACCTGCGCCATCCCGTCAGCAGCATAGCCAACGGACATTGCGAAGCGCTGCATATATATAGATTTTCCAGACGATGTACCTACATGTGGACACACAGGCGCCAAACGCCATCGTCTGGAATGCATCTGTCTCTGAGATCGCGAATGCTCGGTTCGAGGGCAGGAAACAGTTCCATGCTACCGTTCCAGCCAAGTGAATCAAAGCTGGTTGGATCGAATCTCTCTCATCTCGCCAAGTGGCTGGGCCTTGTCCCTGGATAGGAAAGTGCCCAAAACCCTCCGCCCAATCGCGACCTCGAGATCCTTGTGTGGGCCGGTCTCCGTGCCACGCCAAACGGGGCGCGCCATCTTGCGTTCCTGCCGAGTTCCCCAGCCTGCGACCGGGGCATTGAGTTTTATATTGCGGAGCTGTGACCAAAACCCAGCCGGGCCCTGCGCTTCGCTCTCAGTCCGGTCACCACAGCAATCATCCCGCAACAGCGCGGTCGCCCGCCCGAAGAACGAGCCGAAAACCCTTCTGACGCCGTCTCCGAAGCTGCCATTGCATGCGCGCATAGCATCACAGAGCCATTGGACAACATTGTATGAGATAAAAGAGGAGGATTTCGCATTTGCAAGAGAGGCAGGCTAGTTGTTGGGGACTCGGGTCATCAGCTGCACAAGGCTTGGGGTTCAATTCAGGTCCCCACCGCCATCCACCGCCAACCACCGCATATCCCGGCCAACGCTTCGTGCGCGCATTCGAATGGTCGGTGAGAGACGAGGCGGGCGAGGAAGGACAGGAACACAACAAATTTTCAGCTATACACAAACAAACGGTGTTCCATTGTGCATTTAATTGATTTCGCCCAAGCAAAAAAGAACACGCCCCGTCGCATCACGGCCGCGCCGCTCCAACAGATCACAGACCACATAGCACGGCCGGGGTCTCACATTCCACAATGGGTTCAACAAAGTTTGGCAATTTCAATGTGAGCGACAAACAGGCCATGAGCGGGAAAGTGCACATAACTAACCATGTCACCACATAGGAATTCTGTCGCGACGCCACGCTCCCCATCTGCAATGTGAGTGCGATGCACAAAGAAAAACTTTTCATCGCTTGAGGGACATCTGCTCACCTCAGTCTCTGCAGCTTCTATCAACCACAGGCAACCAGTCAAGGCCATGGGATGATGAGTGCAAGTTGAAGGGCATCCCTCTGTCTGATGAACGGCAGCTGGGCAATCTTGGTTAGTGATATTCTTCCACAGCCACCCTCCTATGCCTAGCAACTGACACTTTCCAGGGTCCATAATACTATGCGGAATTGCAATCGTCATCAGCGTCTTGCTATTGCTTCGCTCAGAAAGGAAACGGGCAGCTGTCGGGCGGAGGTAAGTCGGCCTGGGTGTTCATCGGCCCCCTTGTAATTTATGCGCTAACCATTGTGGCAGAGAAATGCAAGCGTTCCTCGTAGGATATATACTGATCTCAATATGCGAAATTTTCTCAGTTGGGGATTTCCCTTTGGATAACAAAGTGCGATTGGTGAGTAAACTCTCAATTGTCGAAGGCGTTCCCGATCTCACCGATTTTACAGGCATTTAGCGCCATTCATATCGGCGCCATTGCGGCGACCACATGGATCCTCTTCCTCAATGGCATTGTTGGATACCAGCTGATGGATGACGGGACTCCATTTTCCCTCGGCCTCCTCCTCGGCTCCTCTCTCCTGTTCCTCATCGGCGTCGGCTACATCGCCCTCGACACCGGCTTCTCCTTTACCCAGTATTGGGACTCGAGCCGAACCGGCGTCAACAGACACATCGCGCTCTATGTGCTGTACCTCCTCCTCCCGCTCTTGTGGATCGTCCTCTACTTCATGCTAGAGACGGTGCTTGTGCTGAGGGTCCTGGGCGAGACGCGGCCCATGATGTTCCTTGTCTCTGCGGCGGTTGCCTTCGCCGCGGGTCAAGTCTTCGACTTCGTGGTCAGCCCGTACATTTGCAACGGCACATCCGGCGCGATCGACGGCGCCCTCTTTGAGACCCTGTTTACGCTAGTGGCGGTGGTTCTGGTTTGGTTTTTCTGGTCCAGCATCACCGAAGACGACTGGCCGGTGGACCCTGGCAACCCTTACCCTTAAAACACGGCCCATCGAGATCGAGATACCCGCGTCCTGATCGACGCACCACACGGCAGGCAGACAACAAGGAGCATTGGAGTTTGGGGGTTGGGATTTCACGACACTCTTTTTTTTGTTGATACCTTTTTGGGGGCGGTTATTTTTGCTAGGCGGAATGTCGGCGTCCAGCGCGAATCGAGTGCGAAATCGAAGAGAACAGACAAACGAAAAACGAAAAAGACAACAAACCGGAAATACGGAGGCAGAAGCATACCGAATAATACACGGTGCGAGCGGGCACATTTGCATTCGACTGGCCGAAGGGTCAAAAAGACAGCTTGGCCTGGTGGCCACTGGGTTTGAAACAGCAACAATTTGGAGCGGCGTCAGCGTGGTGTGATGAAGGAGGATCACGAAATAATGAGCAGGGGTTGATTTTGGGGCGGGGATATGGCCAGCGGTTGTGTGTTGTTTATGGCAGCATGTATTATTGGGCGAGAACATGTTTGGCGTCTGTATACCCCGAGAGACGATGATGTGAGTAGTTAATGAGGATTAAGGTGTCTAGCAAGATTTCCAGTAAATCAAGAGTTCATTCATTCTACCATTGGGAAACCCCCAGCGCTGGACCTGAAAACACGCTACCGATCAATACTCACTAAGATAACAGTAAACACGCTACACGCTATCGATCCATACTCACTTACATAACAGTACGGGGTATCCAAACCCCTAGCATTAATCCTCCCCTTTCCCAGCACAGCGGTATTCAACAAGCCAACAACCCAAAAGCCATCACCGTACCCCCCATCCCGTCCCCCTTCCACCGCACACACAAATACCTACCAAACACGTCCGCCCCACCCTACGGCCCCCTCCTCAACCCCAACTTCCGCAAATGCACCCGCGGAAGCACCCCCACCAAAATCAACACCTCCGCCGCCACCACCCACCACAGGGGCACCTTCATGACCGCCTTATTATAATCCGTCTCCACCGCCGCCGCCACCGTCGCCAGCAGCAGCACCAGCGCCGCGTAGCCCGTCCACCGGTGGTACTTCCACAGGGCCTTGGCCGCGTCCTCGCCGCCCCAGACGCGCGGCACCGCCCAGATGGTGAAGCCGAAGAGGTATTGCAGGAGCAGGAGGATCAGGGTCGCGGTGCCGAAATAGGCGTGCGCCGAGTGGAAGTGGGCGAGGTGGTTGCGGTGCTTGTTGACTTCGATTATGGTCGTGCCGGAGATGAAGAGGGCGAGGGAGAGGAGGTGCTGGAGGACGAGGTGTTAGTGGTCGGTTGGGTGGTGGGGGGGGATATGGCTTGGGGGGAAGGGGTGGAGGCTGGCTGGATGGCTTACTAGGAAGAAATGGTCGCGCTGGCCGAGGAGTTTGGCTGCTGGGGTGGTGGTCGGTTGGAGGATCAGGATGGCTTGTAGGACGGTGAAGACACCGAGCGATTGGAGGAGGGGATGAGGCGTGACGAGGGCGTGGGTTTGGTGTTTGAGGACGGACGTCCAGATGACGGCGAGGAGGAGTAGGGCGCCAACTTGGGCGATCCAGCCCGTGCCGAGAACAAAGTTGCGAGCTATCGGCGCATCAGGTTTCTGTGTCGCGTCGCCGGGTCTTCCGAGCAGAGGCTCACTCTCGGTGGGCGGTGCGGGAGGGTCGGCTTGCGCCGGTGGTGTTTCTGTGGAAGCCATTTTGGATCTACCACGCAGTTGCTTGACAACCTCAAGCGGCCGTGGATCTCGAATCCAGCACTGCAATGAATGCTATAATGGCGGTATGGAGCGTGAATGATGTAGAAGACAAACCGGCGAAGGTGTGAAGCTGCGGGGAAAGCTGCGGTTATGTAAGTGTCGAGGAGGGGGTCTGGTGAGCTGAAGCGCTGGGGAGCTCCGGCGGGCAGTGCTGGACCAACAACTTGTCGGCAGCTTGCATGAAAGGGAGACTAGGTATTGGCCTCTGACGGTGTAATGTTTCACTTTGGGAGCCTCGTCCTCCAAGCACCACCTATTATGGCGATGCTGTACAGCTGAAACCCCAAACCGTAGAATTCGGTCCCGGCTGCGACGAGGTTTAGTGATGGCGCAGCTCCGGCTTGCGATGACGGCAGCAAGCCCGATGCTCCAGCCAATAGATTGCCCTATGATTCCAACCTGTGCATGAATGACTTGGCCGAGTTCCAGTGCCTGCCTGCAAAAAGGCGTGCCGAGACCAAGCCCAGTTGCCGCCCCGCTTCCACATCCGACCAGGCGGCACGCGAGCAGGATGGCAAAAATGAAAACTCACTGTCTTGCATGCCGAGCTGCTTCATTGCTTACGTATTAGTAGACATGGTGAGTGGCACCGTCAAGCCGAAATGGCCCCCGCCGCCCCGCCTCCGCAACGCTTTCCAGTTCCCACAGGCCGTAAGAGGCCGTACGGAGCCGGCCGATGCCCACCGGATGGTCCCTCTTTAAGAACGCAGGCGTGGTAGGGTGGAACGTTCCAGCGTCCCCGTTTCCGAGATAAGAACCTTTATATCCCCTCCCTTCTTATCTCTTATGTTGGCCATCTGCAAGGTTGTTGAAACTGCCGCTTGATAACCGCCAGCCATCAACTATCGATCCCCATATTCGTTTTCCCTGCCTGCTACCGACGTCATGGAGGACATCGAGTACAAGCTAGAAGCGGTCAAGGCCACTCGGGTCCCGTCCGAAGAGATCGACCAGACATTTCGGTCAAGTTGCATCGGTACGTAAACAATCTGTCTCGTTCAAGAGACAAATCTGCTCTTTTCGCTAACGTGACTAACTCTCCTAGATCTTGTATCGGAGGGCCTCGGAGGTAAGGTCCTGGGCTTCTCAGACCAATGGTTCGCAGAAGCTACCAACTTGATCAACCCGGCGGCACCCATACAACAAGCTGGCAAGTTCGTTTACACAGGCGCCTGGTATGACGGCTGGGAGACAAGGAGGCACAACCCGGGGCCCTTCGACTGGGTTGTCATCCGTTTGGGTGTGGCCTCGGGCACAGTAGAGGGCGTCGAAGTGAACACGGCTTTCTTTACGGGCAACCACGCGCCCGCCATTTCGGTCGAGGGTTGTTTCAGCCAAAACGACGAAGAGGTACTGTCATGGAAAGGCGACCGCGGGGGTTGGGAGACCATCCTCGGCATTCAGGAGTGTGGGCCAACGCAGAGGTTCGGGTGGAAACTCGACAACCCCACCAAGAAGCAGTACACACACGTCCGCCTGAACATGTACCCCGATGGCGGCATCGCTCGCTTCCGCCTCTTCGGACACGCCGTGCCCGTCTTCCCCGAGGACAAGGAAGCTATCTTCGACCTTGCGGCTGCCCAAAATGGCGGCGTGGCCGTCTCATGCAACAATCAGCACTATAGCTCCCCGTCCAACCTAATTCTGCCCGGTCGTGGCAAGCACATGGGCGATGGGTGGGAGACGGCGCGGTCCCGGACCAAGGGCCACATCGATTGGGCCATCATCAGGCTGGGGGCGCCCGGGTATATCCAGAACTTCCTCGTCGACACAGCCCACTTCCGCGGAAACTACCCACAGCAGGTGAGGCTTGAGGCGATCGAGTGGAAGGGTGATTCAGAGCCAACTGCAGATGCCAAGGGTTGGGTCAACATGGCGGAACCCATTAAGTGCCGCCCTGATGCAGAGCACCCCGCAGAGAGCCTGGTGAAAGACAAAGCGTTCACCCACGTGAAGCTCATCATGGTTCCTGATGGAGGAGTCAAGCGGGTGCGTGCTTTTGGGAAGAGGGCTGTTTGATGGTTCGGTCTGACCATAAGATGTGTTGAAACAAAACTGAGGGTGGCGGGCGCTGAGATCAGACGAACCAGGAAATCAAGGCGGTACGAGCGGTGTGAGGTCCAGACAACAACAGCATCAAAACATAAGGAAGAGTACAATAACATAAATGGCAGGACAAATAACAACATCCAAATGTATGTGAAGATCCCTTGGCGCACCTTGTGTGAAGCTAGACCATGACCAATTCGAGAAAGAGCCTTTGGATTCAAGCTTGGTTTTGTCCTCTAGGTGGCAAAGCACAGTTGTAACACATGGGTGATAGCCAATATGCTAGAGCGGTTGTACTAAAAGAAAACCATCACTGTTCAGTCAAGGAAAAGAAGCGAAAGGAAGGACCAACAAGTTCCTTCGTGTGCACCTTGGGGGTCGTATCTCTTATCGAACAACGCACGGGCCATCAAGGTGGGGTGTTCTCTCTCAGCAAGACAGCCAAGCCAGCCAACTTTGGGCACGCCTAATTACATTGCTTGGAGGGGGAAATGATCAAGACAGCGGTACTCGGCATCACTCGGCATCCTTCCAGTTCTGACGCCTTCGAATGCTCCCTTTTATCAATCGACCTCTATCGATCTCTGTCAACCCCCGAGAAGCCAGATCCGCGGCCGACCAATCCATCCCTGAATGCTCCCTACGATCCATTTCAGAGAGCGTCCGCCCATGAGGGACTGAACGGCAGCCGCATGCCACACCACGTCGCCCTTGACCATGGATCTCGGGGATTCTGAGGGTGGCTTCGGTGCCGGCGATGGAGAGCTACCCCAGAAGAAGAGGGAACTCCCCTCTGACCTTCCGCGCTCCCTCGATGATAGGCGACATGTGCCGACCGAACTGGTACCAGAGACCGAGATGTACGATGGATGGCAGGGTTAGTGCATCTTGCCTCGCTCCCCCTACAACACAACTGCTTGTCTAGGTATACCCCCTATAAATCCTGGTAGCTAAACATGACTCCCGTAGGGCAATCACAGTTTTTGACATCACCCATGCTCGCAAAGCCCATGACCTTTGGCGACCTGGCACTCGACGACAACTACGGCGACGACCTAACCAAGGGGGGGCCGGAAAGCGAATCCCGCCTGATGGAGATGCTCGCCGCCCAGGCCGCCCACGCAGCGGGCGCCGCCTTCGAGGACGAGGACGCCATCGCTACCGACGAAAACAGGTCGACGGAGGAGAAGAGGGATATACTACAAAAAACATTCATCATGGCTGCGAGCAATGGCAACGTCGACTCGGTTAACAAAATCCTCAGCGGTAAAGCGAGGCAGTACATTGACATAAATACCCCCGACGACGAGGGCACGCCAGCCCTCATATATGCGAGCTGTTTTGTGAGTCGACCGATCGCGGCGTCCCTCGTGTCCCGCTAACGCCGAGCCCAGGGCCACGAATCGGTTGTACAAGCCCTCCTCGACGCCGGGGCAGACGTCAACAAGCAGGATCGTAACCAGTGGAGCGCCCTCATGTGGGCCATGACAAATCGGCACAAGGGCATTGCCAAATTATTACTAGACAACGGTGCCTCCACCGAAGCGAAGACCTCTTCGGGGAGGACAGCATTCGACTTCGTTGCTCCCGACAGCGATATGTCATTCTATCTCAGCGGATACGGCATCGGGACCGCTGGGGCAGTTGACGACTTCTACAATCCGGGATTGAGCCAGGACAAATTCGAGGAGGAGCTCGCCGAGAATGAGATGAGGCGTCGGATGATGATGGAGAGTGCCCGCGACCTGGAAGTAGACCTTGGAAACGTGGGCATGGATGACCAGCCCGAGGTAAGCATTGGATCCTCTCTTGCATCCCCTACAAACTAACCATGTTAGTCCCCCGAAGAGCTAGAGGAAGAGCAACAGGAGTTCGATTGGTCAAGGTGTCTCCATGACCAAATGTTCGTTTTTCAGGAGAACGAACTAGATCGCATCCTAGATATCGTCATTACAAACATGACCCCGCAGCGGTCGCCGTCGCAAAAACCGGTACCCGCAAACATGGTTTTCCTAGGGGCACGATACGCGCACTATCACTCTAGCCCCGAGCTGCTGGGCAAGCTACTCATCACCGCCATGGCCAAGATCAACTCCATGGTGGAGAGGCACCAGTGGGACATGACCATCCTAGCATTTTGGATGTCGAATGCGACCCTTTTACTACATTACCTCAAAAAGGATGCTGGCCTTGTCGAGGCCACCACAGAATTCCAGGCGCAGCTCGCCGAGCTTATCAACGAAATATTCATACTAATAGTCAGGGATGCCGAGCGGCGGCTCGACAAAGTCCTGGACGTGGCCATGCTGGACCACGAAACAATACCGGGCTTCGAAGACATAACGTTCCAAAACGAGTGGAAAATCTTCAAGCGGAAAAAGGAGGTCAAGGAAGAGCCTCTCGAAAAGCGGTTACGGCCACCGTCTCCCAAGCAGCGAGCGAAGCCCTCCCCGCGCAACGTTACCTCTCTCCTCTCCTCGACGCTCTTCGTCCTCGACCTCTACGACGTTCACTCGGTCATCACGGCCCAGATTGTCTCACAGCTCATCTACTGGCTTGGCGCGGAACTCTTTAACCGCATCATGTCGAACCGCAAATACCTCGCCCGGACTAAAGCGATGCAGATTCGCATGAACATATCGACGCTCGAGGACTGGGCGCGCCAGAACAACCGTCAACCCTGAGCACTACGAGCAGGGTGAGATGAAGTCGTCGGGCGAGACCACCATAGACGCCGCCCGAGCGCCACCTGTCCCCTGTCATCCAGCTGCTCCAGTGGCTGCAGTGCTTCTCCTCCCTTGACGCCGACGACCTCGAGGCCCTCGTCGGCACCTTGCAGCAACTCAAGACCCTCACCCCGCAGCAGCTCATCCACACCGCCACGCACTACCGACCCGAGGTCGGCGAGAAGGGTCTACCCAAGAGTGCCATGAAGTACCTCGTCGCCATCCAGAAAGAGGCTGCCCTCAGGAGGGAACGGAACCGTGCTGCCGCGGCCACCGCAGCCGCCTCGCCGCCCGCCACACCCGGGAAATCTTCCAACGGCCACGCTGCGCCAGCCCAGACACCGGGCACACCCAAACCGGAAACGGCGACGACCGGGGAAGAACAAGACGACGACGACGAGGCACCGCCGAACTTGCTCTTCGATCCCGCCCTAATGCTACCCTTCACCCTGCCCAGCGTCACGGACATGCTGGTGAGCTATGGCGCCGGCTTTGGGGGGGTCAATCGGGAGCGGGAGAGGAAGTACATACCGACAATCCCGGCCGAGTTCCTGGAGAAAATTGAAGCCGGGGGAGGGCACGGTGGGGGCGGGAGTGGTGGTGGTGGTGGACATGTGGTTGGTGGGGGCAGAAGGTATGGGAATGGTGAGTGGGATGATGAAGATGTTTGACGAAACATTTTTTGTCTTGGGATTTGGCGGTTTGCTATCGCTGCCGTATACGTATGTGTCGGACATGACGGCGACGCGGGGGGAGAGGGAGACGTGGCACGGCATGGCACAGCAAGATATGGCGGTCAGGGTGGTGGCATGATGAAGACACTGGCGTTGGGCCGGGCTGCTTGGCGCGCACTCTTGGGCTGGGGGCAAGGAGACGGAACTTTGCATACCACATCACCACACATCGCCGGATAGGCCAGTGGATGAATGACTGGTACGGATGCAGCAATAGATGGCTGCGTGCAAGTGTGGATCCAGACAAGACGCGAGAGGGCCGGATGGAGGGCTTCAAGATCGTCGTTGGGATGAGAAAGCCAGCATCAGCATTGGCCATTGGGATGACTAGGATAGACAAACGTCATTTTTTTCGTCGCCATCCTGTGTGTCTCCGTCTCTCCTCGGATTTTGTCACTCGTGGCTGTCAACGCTTGCATGGAAATCATCGCATCTACATACTTACGCAAGCTACCATGGCTAGGCGAGGGGAACCATCCCCAACCGAATATTCCACCTGTGCACTTCGGTACGAGGTCCTTACCAAGACCGGCATCCAGAAAAAGACCCAGCAATTCCAACAGCCCTACCCCATCCCCTCACCTCCCGACGTACCTGCAGCTAACAAGCCAACGAGGCCAGGGCCAATTTCCTTTTTCTCCTCGCCCCTCCTTCCTTTTTCGTTTTGCTTGCCCCATCCCACGTCCCGGACCGCTGCCGCGGTAGCTCGGTTGGTTCTGCGGGCTCGTGGGCTTCATGCAAGCTGCAAGGGACGGGGAGAGATGAGAAACGACTTGTCGGGCCTGGTTGGGCTGAGCTGGGTTTTTTTTTTCCTGCATGGGGTTGCCAAGCCTGGTCTGGCCTGGCCTGGCCTGGCTGGTGGGCGGGCGAGTAGCTGGTTGGATGGGTGGACGGATGGCGGCAGGCTGGTTGGGGGACGTGGAACGTGGTTTGTGGCTTGTGGGTTTGTGGGTTGGAGGGGGTTGTTTTTTCATTTTGTTTTGTGTGGTTGGTTAAGGGGGGCTCGTGGGCGCTGGGAGGTTGCTGGTTTGACGGTTCCTAGTTTCTGGTTTTCGATATCTACCTGACTACGACATGGCGATGGTAAGGATGGGGTTGAGGTGTTTTTGCGAGTGGGCGGTTGGAGGTGGAATTGGATCTGAGGTTGTGCAGGATCGGAGATTGCGCTGCCAGCTGGCTGTCGTGGACTGGGCCAGGCACGGGTTCGAATGTACAATCAGAGGGCGGGGATGGGGATACAACGCCATGGCGTTTGGGGGATGCGATTGCTTGCGTTGCTGGCGCCGCGGGACAGGTGAGACACGCAGACTGACTTGCAGCTGGTTATCGTGGTGGCGTGTTGGCCATCGACGCCCAATTCAGGGGTAAAACGGCACAAGCTCTGGTCTTTGGATTGCGGATTTGCTTTTTCGTGACGATGATGCCATCGGCTGAGGATCGCTCGGGGTTTTGTGAGGGAAGCATCGCGGGTTTTGTTCAGTGATTTACGGAATACGCTCCGAGATCCCCGTAGCTTGCCCTAGGGATTCAATGACCCAGAGGACCCCGAAGAGGTAGAACGGAGGCAGAAGCAACAAAAAGAGGGCCAGCAGCATCTCATCGTGACTGCCCTCAACCCATCACACCCCGTTCCGTGCTTTAAATGGCTGAAGATGGGGGACGGATGAGTTGGCTAAATTGCTCCACGTTGGCGGTCCAATCAGTCAATCGCACCGTCAAACCGGACCCTGGGATTCCGTTGGGAACAGTCATGCGCAGCATCATTCGCTGATCGACTAGCCTCTCGCCTTGCTGCTAGTCTGCCATGGCGGGCATGGCTACCTTATTGTGTGGGGTTTTGCCCCGAATTGACGAGTGAAGATGGGTGAGAAGCACAAAATGATCGAGAGAAAAGACTAACCCCACATCAACAGCCACGGCGCGGGGAAATCGGAGTGGGGTTCCGTGGGCCTCTGAATCGGATCGAAATCCGATCTTGGCCTTCCTTACCGTAACGGCGATCGTCTTTTGCCTCAATATATCCACGATCATCGGTTAGAGGGATGGGAAAGATTGTTATGCAGAGAACGGAAGTGTATGAGAAGGTCAACCTTGATTCGAAGAGGGGAAAAAGAGAAATGAAAAAGAAAGATAGACGACAAGGAACAGTGATACAAATACAAATACAGACTGAGGTACGTTACACATTACAACCTGGAGGGGCCGGGCGGCATGTAAGTGTTAACGGCACAAGACACATGCTTGTCATGCATCAGTACCACACGCAATGCAAGACACTCTGACCGACTTGCCCACTCTTGCTGATCTTTTCGGGGAAAGAAGCGGTCTTCCTGGATTGGGCTTTTGCGCCAGACTTCATTTGAACAATGATCTACAGCGTCAAAGATTCCAACCCAGGTTTAACGGAGACTTTTATGTGACATGCCCGGTAATCCAGCAAGCCCTGCTTTGGCCGGAGTTTTCAGTTGCAATGGAAGAAGGCAATTGCTTCTACCAAATTAGAAAGTAACCCTACCTTCCAGTGCCGCTCGGTCATTTGATGGCCGACCAACCAAAGTTTATTGCATGCAGACCTCTGGATTGCACCCCGGGTGGTTGACGGCAAACGGCCAGACGGTAGTGTGGCGGTCTCTGGATGGCCCGGCCCGTGAACACATTCGTTTGTTCACTCAGTCGGGCTATCAACTCACCGCATCGTGAAAGACAAGGAAGAAGAGCGGAGTCGGTCCCGGCTAGCAAGAAGCCACACCCACGACCACTCGCAACCCCATTGGGCTCACACGAATACCGGGGAAAAGCAAGGCTCCAATCGCCCACACTTGTATTGTAGGAGCTCCCAGGTGGAAGTAGCCAAGGTTTAGTCGCTAGGTAGATGGCAGGAGGGGATAATTAAGAAGCCCTCCTCCTGCCGACCCCGATCTCCATTTCTGGCAGTTTGTGTTCTGAACTGCCAACGTCCGGACCCCTCTTCTCTTAGCTGTGGCCTTCACGTCACGACCGAGTTGGGACGAGACACCGGAGCGCATTACCGGACTGCACTGACGGTGGACCACTGCACCTAGGGTGCGAGGTAATGCGTCTCGACTCAGACCACCGACTGGTACTTGACCCCTCTCGGTAACGCTTTTGAATCGCTGGCCATTTTTTCCCTGTTCTCTTCCTTCTTGTTTCTTCGTTTGCGCTTCATCTCGACGCTGCATCAATCGACACAAGGGTTCCCTCACATTGCAAGGGAGGAGTAACTGTGCCGCAACCGTTGCTGCGACGCTTCGGGAAAGAGCTGCAACCTCGAAGCAATGGCACCTCAAAAATTGGGCAGCGTGCGCCACAGGGGCAGGCCAGCAGCATCAGCTCGCCTTGCCCCTTTCCGAGACGACACAGGTTTGGTTGCACTACGGTACGAGGAAACCAAGCAGGCAGAACCCCCGATCCCCCTCCCTCCGCCACGAAACCCGCGTCGCCTAGCCCGCACCCAGTCGACATTCACATCATCAACTGCCCCGACATCTCCCATCACCATCAACCCGCCGCCGATAGCTCCACCGCGAGAGGAACATCCGCTATTCCGCACGCAGAGGCCATCGCGGCCGTCGAAGACCGAGGAGTGGAAAAGAGACTCGGGCGCCCCGACATCGTCGTCCATCACCCTCCGGGAAGAGGACGGCGACGATCCTGTCTATCAGAAAATAGTGGATGACATCGCCGATACTCCATCGGTGTATTCCGATGACGAGGAAGAGATCGTCAACCCACCCCAGTCGACCCTCATCAGCCAATTCGCACCCCCGCCGCTGACGCTGACGGTTTCCATTCCGCCTCGCCCCGAGAATCCAGAATCTGCTGTCACCTCGCCGACGCAGTCAGTGTCGTCGCCTTCACGACGCACTTCATTTACCACCAAATTCAGCAAGGGCTTCGGGGTTGGAATGACGAGTAGCGGACCGAAGAAGCTGCGGAAAAAGATGCTTGGCGGCGACAGGGCTGCAGCACAGGCAGCGCCTCCCGTGACGGACCCGTTGCGGGGCTCGGTTAGGTCACCCAAATCGCCTAAGCTCCCCCCACAGGCGACAGGGCCAGATGTGCCAGGCGTGCTGGGGCCTTTGAGCGCCGACAGGGAAGATCCCCAGACCCCTTTCTATTCTGCGACAACCTCCGATAAATCTTTTGCGCCGATCAACACCCCTATCCCGGACGACAGTCTATGGGACGACTTCGGTGCTCTTTCATTCTCCAAGCGGGGGAGCATCATGTTTGGCGGCAAGAATAGCCTCTTTAAGTCGCTAATGATGTCTACCCCCGATGCCAAATCCGATGCGCCTCCCGCCAACGAACAGCAACATCAACATCAACATCAACACGCGACCACTGCTACATTCACGCCGTCCGATCCCCAAACACCGACAACCGTGGCCGACAATGACAATGTCATCACCACCTCTCCCGAGTCGCGCCCTGGGAAGACCGACGTGGCCGGCGCGGCCGACGTGATGGCAGAACAGCCCCGTGCGCCGCCGCCGGTCGACGCACCGTCCGTTCCCAGCATTCGCGTCTCGTCGATGGATGTAGAGAGGGAATCACAAAAGGTGAGATCGCTCTATGAATCCGGCGAAGACCTGAATTGGGAAGAGGGGGGGGCGTGTCTCGTATCCCGAGCGCCTCGAGCCCACTGCCGAGGTCCCGTCCGAAGAGGAAGAGAATGTTGCGTATGGTTTCCTTGAGCTCTCCAGGTCTGGTTTTGCTTGACCTCTCCCGCTAACTTTATCGGCTCGTTCCCAGATCATCTCGTCCTTCCGATCCTCTTTCGGTGTCAGGTCCCCACCAAGGCGGCGCTCCGTCCAACCCCACGTCCAGTACAATTACTCCGCGTTCGGCCAATTCCTTGTCTCCGCTACAAGATAGTCAGGTTCGAAGGGAGTACGAGCGCGCGGGAGGCATCGAAGACTGGGCCGATCTCGACGGCTCCGAAGTTGACCGCTATGGCTTCATCAACCCCAGGCGCCCCGTGTCGCGCGCCGAGTCGTCCGTGCCGAGGTCGTCGCCGCTTTCGACCAGGAAGAGGAACGTCTTGACGAAGCGCCCATCTACGTCCTACTCGTCGTCACTGCCTGGCGGCTTCATCCGTCCTCCCAGCCGAAAGTTTTCGGCGCGGTCGCTGAACACGTATTCGTCCGAGCTGTCGACCATCTCCCGACGATCTACCCGGTCGTCGATCCGCTCAGCCACCAACCGTCTTCCGCACAATCGCGATCGTCGATGGATGGACGAGGCTAGTGAGATGCTATCCCTGCAAGCAGGCCTAACCGGCATTACCGACGACGAAAAAATGGGAAAGATGCTCGAGGCGCAGAAACGTAAGGAGGCAGAGCGCTCCGAGAAATGGCGGAAAATGGCCACCGCCGTCAAAACTGGCATTGCGAGCAGCAGCAAAGACAACAACGCCCCCGACCCCGGACTCGAATCCCAGCCTTTTGAAGGCCCGCAAGGCAAGGGCATGTCCTACACGTTCGACACCGCCTCGCCCAAGCTCATCGACCGCACCTGGAAGGGCATTCCCGACTGCTGGCGCTCCGCCGCCTGGTATGCCTTTCCTCGCGACGAGCGCTGCCGCGCACAACTACAACCACATCCACAACAAGACCCCGCGCGAGACAGAGGACTACCTCATTGCCGAGTTCCGCCGCTTGCAGGCCGTTGCCTCGCCCGATGACGTGCAAATCGACCTGGACGTGCCGCGTACCGTCAATGGCCACATCATGTTCCGCCGCCGCTACCGCGGGGGTCAGCGCTTGTTGTTTCGCGTGCTGCACGCCATCTCGCTGTACTTTCCCGGTACCGGATACGTGCAAGGTATGGCCAGCCTTGCCGCGACGCTACTGTGCTATTTCGACGAGGAGAGGGCCTTTGTCATGTTAGTACGGCTATGGCGGTATCGCGGACTAGAACGGCTGTACCAACCCGGGTTTGAGGGGCTGATGAGCGCGCTGAAAGAGCTCGAGGAGCGGTGGTTGATGGGGGCGGGGAAGGATATAGCGACGAAGCTCGTATGTTTTGTTTTTCTACCCCAGTGTTCCATATCTCGCAATGACATACATGCCGTACTAACCCAATCTCGCCGTGCAGCAAACGGAACTCGCTATCGACGCAACCGCCTACGGAACCCGCTGGTACCTAACGCTCTTCAACCTCTCCATCCCCTTCCCGGCCCAACTCCGCGTCTGGGACGTCTTCATGCTCCTCGGCGACTGCCCGCCCGAGCCAACCCCCGCCCCGTCCCCCACCCCCATCGCAGCGGCCGCCGCGTCAGCAGCGTACACCATCGTCGCCCCCCCTCCCCTCATTGGGGACGCGACGGCGGCCCCCAAGGGTCTTGACATCCTGCATGCGACGGCCGCCGCCCTCATCCACGCCCTGCGCGACGTGCTTCTGGATTCGGACTTTGAGAACGCCATGAAGGCCCTGACCGCATGGATTCCCGTGCAGGATGAGGACCTGCTGATGAAGGTGGCGCGGGCTGAGTGGCGCCGCCATCAAGGGCGGGCAAGGTTGTGGGAGTGGGAGGGGTGGGAGACGGGGAGGGGGAAGGAGAGGAAAGAGAAGGAGAAGGGGAAGGGGGAGAAAGAGGCTGCTACTGGCAAGGAGAAGGGGGCGAAGGGTGGTGTTTTGCCGTCGGGTGCTGGGAAGGAGAGTATAGCGAACGAGGGGGAGGGGAAATTGAAGGGGGATGGGGTGGTCAAGGAAAAGAAAAGCAGGGGGATGGGCATGGGCAGGTTATGGGAGCGCGGGGGACACGAAAAGGATAAGGGAAAGGATAAACAAAAGGAGAGGAAGGGCACGGAAACGGCTTAGGGGCCGTGGGCTTGTTGGCGGTGCGAGTTTCGCGGCGGGTAACTCACTGGGCGTTGTTAGGATATTGAGGGTGGTGACTGGTGGGATGGTAAGATGATTGGGTTGGTGGGTTGGTGGGTTGGTTGATGCCACGGCGATGACATGCGTGGCTCCCTCCCACTGATGACGCTCTTTCGCGTTTCCTTCCCTTTGTTTTTGTTCTCGGAGGCTTGACGGTGTTTACCCCTGGCCTTGGGGCTTCATCGTCATTGCCGTTTTGTTTGGGCTGAGAGAAAGAGTTTGATACCCCTTGACGTTTACTGCTTTCTGGGAGAGCCACGCCATCATGTGCGTGCGGTTGGGGAGGTTGCGGTTTTTAATCTGTTTACTTCTTCTTAACTTACCAGTAACTTAACCCGTGTGGTAGCAAGCACGTGGCTATGTTTTGTATGTCTTAGTATGTAATTGATTAGCGTTGTTAACCGTCGGTTGGTGAGCCCGTTGCAGTCGAGAGGTACCTTGTGTGGAGTGTCAGTGATGAGTGAGACTGGCGTAAGAGCCCGTATGCCGTCATGGCTAACTCAAGTAGTGTGTTGTTACTTGTCACGCTCGCCGTTTCGGCCTGAGTATGAATAAGGTCCCGGGTTGTTATTCTACATAACCTCAACTAGTCTGTAACCAAGCAATCACCAGTATCTATCCCTGTTGCACCTCTCTCGGTCGTATAAGCTTTGAGTAGTGTTGTAAAGCTCGAGTCAAACTAGACGACGATCTTGCTTCCGAGAACCCATCCCTCAGCGTTAGAAGCCCGTGAGGTTTGATGTCGGCATGAACAGATAAAGTATCAAACCCCCAATACCTCCTCTATCAGTGCGATATTCCGGTAATCTTCTGCGTCAGCCCATAAAGTATTACCTCTCCGCTTTCAACGGGCACGCTCCTCCTCACTACCCACGACACTTTGTCCACTCTCATCCGGATGACATACTTGGGGTGTGTTTGTCTATGTAAGCTCACGGCACAGTTCCAAGGCTGGAAGCATGTCACCCCCGCATAACAGACGCACGCGGTCAGCAAGCAAGCACCCAAACAAGCGATAAGTGGGAGGGCAGGCAACGCAGGCAAGCGGCTCGGACAACCTCCAGTATCGCCCACTCCAGCTGAGAAGGAGAGAGGGTGTTGTCCTTGACGGTAACCCGGCACTGTAGGTCCTCTGCCTGCTCAGATATCCCGTACATGGGACATGCAGCATGCACCAAACGCAGGAAAATCCCCGCCCCCTTTTGAGTGCATCGGCATCCCACACATCCACACCTGCATATACATACATACGCATGGAGAGGGCAAGGCAAGCAGAGACACACACGGCAGCTAGACCTTCCCAGCCCAGCCCTGTGTGCCTCCACCTGCCCGCCCCCATTCACTCATCCACATCACCCCAATTCCACGTCTGTCACACTGTGGCGTTTTCCCACTATACCCGGTATGTATACACCCTTCTCTCCCTTCGTATCGGCGCCTGCTTGCATGACAGAACCCGTCCTTCTTCTTCCGGTGAGCAGACGGACACATGCAAGGCTGGCAAGTAAGCGGACGGGTAGGCCACCCTCCTCTCTTCCCAACCCCCCACGCGATATGAACGCAGCAAACAAACAACTCCACATTCGCGAGAAGCAGAGTGGTGTGTGTCACACAGCACGCTACGCCAACGACTCCTGGTGTCCTGCATACCTACCACACAAGAAATAACAACACAGGCATACACCGGTCAGCGTGTACCAGCCCCCCCTCGCTCACTAATTCATTCATTCGACCTGTATGTATGCAAAACATGTACGTCAAGGAATGCACCATCTAACACGGCAGACGCAAACGTACACAACGCACGGCCATCCCCACGAAAAAAAAAACCAACAAAGAAAACACATGATTGGAACGGATGCTGTCCGATCCGACGGCAAGGGAAGAAAGAAGAATAGAAACAAACAGGCCAACGCAACCCTTCTAGACGTCTAGACGATGCTAGGGTGCCGCCGCACGATCTGGTGACGCACCTACGCGGATGGGGGAAACCACACAAGCCCGGCACACCACGGCAATTAGACGCGGCAAGAGAGCTCTCTCTCCCTCTCTCTCTCCCTCTCTCTCTCCCTCTCTCTCTCCCTCTCTCTCTCCCTCTCTACTGCCCGTGGAGGGAAAAGGGGTGTTAAAAATAGCCGCGAGGGTAGGTGGGTTTGCGCGTCCCCAAGCGCAGGCGGACCAATCCCCGCAGAGACGAGCGCGGAGTTGGCGTCTATGGGCTCGGGGCGCTCGCCTGTAACTCTATATGTATGTATTCAACCGCTGCCGAGCGGTTCGTGGGACCAAGGCCGGTCGGGCGGGTGGGTGATGGATGGGGCAGAGAATGACGCGTTAATGTGGCGGCCGGCCCCTCAAAGTGGGAAGGAAGTACGCGATACCAGCTTTCCTTCTGGAAGGCAACCTCGCTTGTCGACCGAGTTAGTCCTCCAGATATTGGAAGTAGTGGTAGAAGAGAGAAAGAACAACGGGGGAAGAAAGGGGACAGCAGGCTGACTCCCGGAAGGCACAGCTGCGTGCCGCGGCAGCTCGTCCGTCCCCCAACTCCTTCCTGCCCGCGGACGGGCGGACCAGCAACCAATATCAAGCCGCGGCCCAGCTGTGCGTCATACTTGTACACCGCTCACCCCCCCCATAGCCGGCTACCTACATCCCTGACCAGACCGTTGGAGCCGGATAGAAGAACACGTAGACGTCTTCCGGAACAACACAAGTGCACCTATAGGGCCATATATACCTCGTATGTACATATTTGACATGTTCCCAAATGGCTTGGCAGCCCGCCCGGAGGGCGGGGGGGGGGGAGAAGAAGGAAGAAGGAAGAAGGAAGAAGGAAGAAGGAAGAAGGAAGAAGAAGATTAATCTTGGAAGATATCGGGCGACGCATTCAGCCCTGGCCCGATCCAGTCCCTGTGCAGCAACGGTTCTCAATTAACCCGAGAAAAAAAAAAAAAAAAACAGTGCCAGTCAGCCACCATGTATACATCATTTGATACGAGGCCGGGGTTTTGATATGTGCGCGTGTTCGGCCAGCGACATTGATGGCGGTGGTCTTTGCGTGCCTGCTGACCGGGAAGATGCAGGGCCCTGAGGCCGGCCGCGTTCCAGAAGCACCGCCGATCTGGTCCCCGGCCGGGCATACGGACTTCCAAACCGGACTGCAGAGCAAGGGCGGTCTATGGGTGTGTTTTGGCAAAGGACTCTCTTGTCGCGCAACCAGGCGGCCCGTGATCTCCGGTGTCCCTGTGCCCTGCCGAGACTGAATCAACCCTCGAGCTGGCAGCCGCTGCAAGTGGAAACTCGGAACCGAGAAATCAGCGGCTGAACCGAAGAGATTCTTGGTAATGCCAATCCGGCCGGAGACTTCGGCGGAATTCTCTCGGGTTCTTGGGAGGACCGCTGGCGTGACGGGGATTCTCCCAAAGTGTACTTCTATCATGGTCACGGTTGAGCAGTTGAGCACGGCCACGGCCTTTTAGAACGATGGGTCAACGGAGGCCAAAAGCAACAAAACTATGTAAGGGTAGGTTAGGGGTTGGATGGAATTGATGATCCAAAGAGCGCGGCGGTGTCTTGTGCTGTGTAAAGCGATATGGCAAAAATCCATGCGTTCTCGTTGGCTTCTCGTCTCAGCCGCGCGGAGAGGGCGCGCCTTGCCAGGTCGGATCGATCTGGGCGATCCTTGTGCTCTTGTGGCTCTTCTTGTTCCGCCCACGATTAAGCGCCGACAGGCTAAACTCTATATGATCGTCAAGTATCCCGTGGGTTTGGGCGAGGTAGTATCGGAGTCGGCGGAGACGGCGCCACTGGTTCCTCGTTAATATAAAAGACATCGATTAACCGCAAGCGTGGCTCGCATATCGAACCAATCCGACCAGCATGCTGAGACCGACGCACGTAGGATATGTAACCGTACATGTACGGAGTGCCAGGATCGATTCGAAAGTTCCGCTGCTTAGTGGTCCACACTCAAACCAGTTTCTCTCTCAAACGGCTTGGCTGAGATATTCGCTCATGGACGGACGCAGAGTAAAGGGGTCCTTGAAAGCTGACACAGAACTTGTAGTGTAGCATTGTCCATTTTGCCGCAGGGGGGTAGGCGGCTGGGCTGTTCTTTCCAGCGTCGCATCCGACCGTTCATTGCATCTCCCTGTGTTCTCGAAAGGACCGAGTCGCCTATTCTCCGCGCTTCCCAACAAGGACAACAACTGTCTCGGAACTTTGCGGTTCACTGAACTGCTCTCGAGCTCCTGTATAATTGATGCGGCTGAGAGGTAGTCGGGGGACACACCACAAGAGAAACGAGACATCGGCGCCATGCAGCAAGGGAGCTCGTAATGGGATTGACCGTCAATCCCATGGGCTTGTTCGTGTTCGTTGTTGAGCTCGGCATCGTGTGTGGGTCCGAATCGACCCCGGGGGCGGGCGGACGGGCGGGCCCCGATGCCGGCCGGGCTTGGGTCCGAGGAGGGAGGACAAAAGGTGGTACTGTACTCCGTCCAAACCCAGCGATCTACGGGAGCGGCCATGTGGCGTGTTTCAACTGCAGACTTGGGGAGACCATTTCGATCCGAGGGCAGAGCCGGTGTGCATCCGCGGTTGGCGAATCCCGCCGAGCATCAAGGCGAGCAATTACCGGCAGCGAGAGAGAAGCGAGGTAATTGGTTGTCATCGGCGCTAGTCAGCGCACAGATCAAGGTAGACTTCATTGTGGACGCGGGCATTCCGGCGAGATGAGGGACGCGGGTGCAGGCGCAAGCGCGTATGTACATACATACTCATACATGCTTGCACATGGTATGGTAGGCGAGTTGTTGGTGTGCTTGACTGGTGTGCTTTCTTAGTCGGGGTACGAGGGGACATGGAACGGCTCCCTATACCACCCTACCACCCTTCCAAGAATCCAAATCCCACCCCTTCTCACCTCCCTCCCCCCACCTCCGTCCGATGGCGCCAAACCTCTTTTGGTGTTTACCCCAGTCGGTGCCAGAAGCCTGGTCCCAGTTCGGAAGCAGGGTTGAGCTGCACAGCCCTATATTAAGCAACGTCATGCCTTCTCTCGCCGCCGTGGGTTTTGGCCTGATGCATGCTCAGCACACCCACAGCCGACCGGCATTGCCTCCGCTCGTGCTCTTCGGCAAGCTCTCTGGCGGCTGGTTGTATGTAATTTGGAAGACGGGGGAAATGGCTCTTCGACCTTCTTCTGCAGGTTCAGGTCGAGCTTCGACACAGCGAATGAGAAATTGTCCGATGTCCTCATTGAGAAGTTCGCTCTCGAGGACCGTGCTCGAGTTGTGCTTGGTCGCCGTTTCGGGCGCCTGTTTCCGCCACACGGCTTCCTCTTTCAACCCGTCCCCCCGACGAGATGGTTGCCCTGTCGGGATTCAAGACAAACCGTTGCACACGCCTCTGATGATCATCGATCAACAAGCGCCGTCGAAACCGCCCATGGTGATGCGTCGGCCGTGCGAGTGTTTTCGTTTTCTCTCGTTCGGATAACTTTTCACCCGCTTGGCTGGTTGGTTGGCTGGCTGTGTGATGCGTCGAACCTAAGGTAGGTAGTTGCCTAGTGCTTTCCCGCACGCCGGAGGCTCGAGCCGCGGAGCTTGCCATCGAGTTCTTTTTTAGCATGTCCATCAATTGCCCCTTGTAGCAATGGTAGATCTGGCCCCTCGCACACATCGCGGCGGTTGACAAGCGCCTGGGAGCCACCGGTTGGCATGGTACATACATCTGCATCAGCGTGATCAGGTACGTGGGGTGGGGTCTCGACGCCAATTCTTGCTTCTGCTCTGCCCGTTGCCGATTGTGGAAGCCATGACCGATTGGAAAGGGAAATGCTGACTGTTTGCGGAACAGCGGCTTTTCGGATACCTCGCTTGACTTCCAGCTTGTTTCCATGTGATGACCCAACCCTGATGAACCAACCTCGAACCAGCCTGCCAACCCAGCAGATTTCTGTGAGACGACTGAAGCGGGGATTCGAATTGCAAGGAGCTCCCTGTGGGGAGTTTGCCTAGTCGACTCACTCCGGAACTGCCGCCTCCACCTGTCCACGCCATCGTCTCCACTAGCTTAAGCGGGGACATTTCCTCTTCCTTTCATCGGGCCCATGCAGTTTTCTCGGTTTGTGCAAAGAAGCAAACTCGAGCCCGTGAAAAATTCAGGAAACCCCATCGGCTCCCAGTTCACGGTTAATCAAAGGGCAGGTACGGAATGTTACGGGTGTATAACTAAATGCGAGTTATCCCGTATCTGACCCGTTGACAAAACAGGCTATAGAGGGCTTGTGTAACGGACACCATTCCCAGTGGGAAGTGCGACTGCGTATTCGTATATAAGTCCGAAAGCTTATGTAGAATACACTATTGTTACTTTCACAGTTTTCCGTCATCTCGCAAGCGTTCCCCCATGGTTCCCCCCGTTCATTCCAGCCTCCCGAGGAGATCTTGTCCCTATTGAGGTTGTTACTCCCCATGCAGGGTATCGTCGTATCGTATGTATCGAACTGATCACCGAAGAACGGACTCGGCGTCCGTGCTTTTACCGACCCAGTCTGAGCGGTTCGGGAAGCCGAGCCTCAGTCAAGCCAGACTGGCACCTCGTCCCCCGCCTTACCCATCCGAGAAATCTTGTGCAATGGCGCGCCCGCCACCCTGCAGTGACATAGTTATTCGTCCAACAAAAGGCAAAAGAGGAAAAAGCAAAACAGTGCCTCCCAAGGTCACACACGCCCCCCCCCCCCACTTGTTTTCCTGTTTGTTGTTGAATGCATCTTTTTGGTTTTGGCATTCTCCCCTGATTCATCTTGATTAAAGTCGATTCAAACGCCCCATTTTCCTGACCCGCCCTCCCGGCCAGCCGTTTCTGTTTCGATCCCTGATAAAACCTAACAAGAACACATTAAAACAACGTGATAATAGTACAGTACAAAATCCGAGTTAGCAAAGGTTGGTGGTGTAATACATTTTAAAAAATAAACATTGGCGAGCGGGAAAAAAAAAAAAAAAAAAAAAAAAAAAAACGTGCCCAGACGCGGAACAAGAAAGGAAAACGAAATGTCAGAAGCTTCGCCGGAATCCGGAACGGCCTCCCTCGCGTTCAAGGGCGGAGACAACTCGACGAATTGGGAAATAGCCCCTGCCGCCGCGTGTTTGTGATGAGGTCGAGGCTCAAACATGTGCGCCAAAAAAATGCGCGGTGTGGTCCGGTGGACTCGGCGTCGATGGAGTCGTTCCTGTCCGGTTATGGCGAGTTTGATCGAATAGGGGGACCAGTCCGCTTTGTCGGGGACGCGGCACTGTTCCTTATCCACGGAACCTTCCCCTGACTGGCCCCTTGTTTATCCTCATCGCCGTCACCCTTGCAACGGCGCGGTGAGGATCCCGCCCCGTTCATATTGCCGTAAGCGGAAAGGGGCCAGCCAAACCCAAGCCGCAAAGAGCTTAGGCCGGCTCGGCGGGGCTGAAACAGCGATGAAATTAAGGTTCAGCTGTTATCTCCCGGTCGCGTGGCTGTTGATCCCTGGACTCCACCACCACCGCGAAGTTTTTCCTCCGACGACCGTGGTGACTGTCTCCGCTCGTTCTCACCAAATTGCGCCAGGCCGTGTTGCTGTTGCTGTTGCATTTGGTGGTGGTGGTGCTGATGGTGTTGTTGGTGCCGGCCTTCGGACGGGTTCCCGGAGGCGAAGTGCGTTGTCGCCCGAGGAGACTGCGGGTTGTCTGACAGGAGTGATGAAACCGAATGTGCCCCGACCCGTCCGGATGGAGCCTGCGCGGGTGGGGGTGCGAATTGTGCTGGTACCTGGCCCTGGTGCTGAGTTGACGAGAGCGGCTCGCCGTTATCCCGCGCGGGGCCTGCCCCTGCCGTGTGCATTGGCGACGTCTCTCGCCCCGGACCCAAACTCTCCGCGCGTCCCCGACCAGCGCCAGGTCGGTATGAACCCAGGTCACTCCTCTGCCGCGAGTGCCCTCGCCTGCGCCCGGGCGGCGGATTTGACAGGCCCGTGCTATGCAAGAAGGGCGGCGAACGGTGCCGATGCGTGGATGGCGGCGGCGCGGCCTGCTGTGGTCCTGGTGCTTTTCGTTTGCGTGGCGATTCCCCTACTACGTGAAAAAGAACGAGCCAGTTAGCCCCACGCCAGAGCCTTATTTTGAGCGCCATTTGGTTTTGGACGAACCTGAGGGCGTGGCGGGCTGCTCTGCCCCACCCCGTCCTCCTCCTTGTGTCGTTGGGGGTTGCCAATGGTGGAAGTATATGGACGGAGACGCTTGTGGCTCTTGTTGATGCTGTGACAGTCCCGATTGCTGGCCCGGCCCGCCCGGCGCGTTAGTGACCAGGCTGGGCAAGTTTGATCCGGTCCCAGCGGATGGCCGTCCCGCCATCGTCCCCGGCATGCTAAGTCCTCTAGGCCTCGTGGGGGAACCAGGATAGCCGGCCGCATATGTGCTCGGCGGCCCTTGTGCCGAACCCGGCGTGGATGGGATGGCGCCGCCAGAAACTGGGTACTGCCCGTACATCGGGGCCTGCGAGTCTCGCCTTTGGTGTTCTGAAGAGACTGCCACAGGTGGCATCAGTGCGGGAGGGTGTTGTTGAGGGGTTTGCGACATCATGTACTGCTGCGCCCAGTCTAGGGCCGCCGGCGAGAGTGCGCCACCGCCCATGCCTGCAAAAACAACCGGCACCAGCGGCGGTGGTATCCCTCCTTCCAGGGAGGTCCTCAGGATCTCGTGCTCCATCCTCCTCTGCTCGAGACGGTAGCCTTCCTGCCGTGTCCTCTCCTCCTCTTGCCGCCTCTTGTCCTCCTCCGCCTTGGCAGTAAGCCAAGCTCTCATCGATTCCTCATGCCATGTCGGAGCCGCCGGGAGCTGGCCCAAAGGCTGGCTTTGACGAGACCGGAGGTGGCGGGACAGCCTGGGCTCCCGACAAG